TTGGTCGTTCCCACTTGCTAATAAACGCTTAAAAACAACAATAACTTTCATCATTTGAATAGTTTAAAAACGTATTTGGAATAGGATTAACTTAATGTTTACGTTCCCTGTTTAAGAAATAGAAAACATACGAATCTTCTCATTTCATGGGAACGACCTGAGACTGCAATCACGGCTTCAATTTTTGAATTGCAGAATAATTAGATGCACTATCTAGTGTATATAAGATATCTATGACTAAGTATCATACCGTCTACGCATCTCAAATTCACAAATGAATAAGTAAGAGAAATTTAAGTCTATAAAAGTTGACGAAATTATATGCGAATTAATTAAGATCACATGCATATCCAGTTGCCGCCATAGCTGTGATTTCCTTTGTTTATACTGCTTATGAATTATTGAGAGAGAGAGAGTAAATCTGTGCATTCAGTATAAGTGAAGAATATAATATACTGCAGGATTCACCCAAAAAAATGCATGCATGCATGCAGAAGATAAGTATTAGCATAGGCAGCCCAAAACTGCGTGTAGAATGCCCCAAATGCTTCCAAATGCCAATTTATATTAAGCTCGCTCCATTCCTCTGTCATTTGTCGCGCGCCGCAAGCACTCGATTATTTCATTGAGTTCTTGCGGCGCGCGAAAAATGACAGAGGAATGGGGCGAGCTTTATATAAATTGGCATTTGAAAGCACTTGGGGCATTCTACACGCAGTTTTGGGCTGCCTATGGTATTAGGTTAAGTAATGAAGTGCATGACAAACTTCATTAATTTGTATACATTTTAAGGGTTAGATTACAAATTTCGAGAAAGATATACACACCCCGATTGCAAAGGAACTTCTCATTGCAGCTGGCTTTATAGTTTCTTTCGTGATAGCAACAGTTTCTCCAGGATTGTTTTCTTTCACAACCGGTGCAAAATTCTCCAACTCATTGTAAACCTTTTCAGATACCTAGTAATGGAGTAAAATACATGCCAGACCTGGAAAAAGTTTTTAATGTTTCTCGGATACTCAAAAGTGCGTATGTTAATGAAAAATTTGACTGTACATTACACCAAATTTGAACATCGAACAACACTTTACAATCGCAAATAATCAAATAAGAGGTAAGGAAGCTTGATATAACGATTCTCCCATAACGTATGAGTGAAAATGTTCCTTGTTAAGGCAAATGTTCCTGCAGGATCCCGAGATCCTGCTTTTTCCCAGGTCTGAATTATATACTGTAACGGTACTGTATACTAGAGGTGTGCAAATCCGATCCGAATCCGATTCGTTCAGATTTCGGAACAAAAATATACATTTCGGATCGGATTGATAAATTGTTATTTCGCAGTCGAATCGGACTTTGATATTCGAAATAAAATGAATTAATTATCCACGCATTATCGCAAGAATTAATTATCCGTGAATTTATCAAAGCATTATCGCGGTTGTCGCTGCATTATTCGTTTGATACTTCAATTGGACGTCACTTTGTCAGCTTCTTGACATGTATTTCTTGCTTTTATATTTATTTGGTTAAATATTTCAACTTGAATGAGAAATTCGGATCGAAATTCTTTATCAAATCTCGGATCGGATTCGGATTAGACAATTTCGGATCGGATTTTAAACATTAGCCAAATGTCGGATTATAAACGTCCAATCTGATCCGATGCACACCTCTACTGTATACAGTATATTTAGACAGCATAAATTAAACATCATAATTTCATCTATTAATTTAAGGCCCGTTTACACTTGCAATTTTTGCTGCCATTTCTAGTGCGATTTTCTTCTTCTGATGGATGTGAACGAGTGAATGAGTGATGAATATTCAGCCGCGGCAACATATATTCAAAACAATGATAACTCATAATCATAGCAAAAATTGCAAGTGTAAACGGGCCTTTACAAGTTTATTTGATATCAAAGCAACTCTACTACCTGAAATTTCTCATTAGTATTCATTTCCTTGGTTTTCTCATCTTGTTTTGTGTTCATCTGCGTTAGTTGAGTAGTCTTATTACTTGGACCTAAAACAGAACCAACATGCAGTGTTATTATAGCAACATTTTCAAGAAATGATCAATTAAGGGTTGAAGGGTTTTGTAGATGAAAATTTCGAGTGTAAATGTTATACATTTTCATAGAGATATTATAAGTAAATGTTATATTATACACAGAAATGCTAATTTGATTGGGGCAGCTATTAGATACAAGGCATTTAATTAGAGAGTTGAGAGAGTACTAAAGTGAGAATCCTATAATAAAACATACCTTGTAAGTCAAGTTGTGCATCATTTTGTATTGCTGGCACATTATCCACATTGTTCTCATTCAAAGTTTCCAGTAATTTTGCCAAGTCATTTTTCGTTACAAAAGCGGTAGTTTCATTGACAGGTGTAGAACCACTGTTACCAGATTTTTGCACTGTAGACTTGGGTTTGTTGTCTGGTAATTTTCCATTAAATTTTGCAGCTACTCTAGAAAGCTTAGCCCCTTTTACGTAATTTGAACGTTCTTTGTTGTGTTTTAGCTTTAATTGGGTCTCTTGTTGTTTTGCCCTTGGTTTTCTTTTTCCAACTGAATCATTATCGACTGAATCACTTTTAGTTTTCACCTAAAAATAACCATCACAAGCTTTCAAATAACTAAAACAACTACTAGCTGTTACTAGAACATCGGCTGAAGTGGAGTATTTTCTCCTCAACTGTCTTTGCTGAATGATATAGTAGGTGGTCATGCAGGTGGTGTTGATTATTATTGAGGGTGAGAGTTAATACTACAACAGATAAATAATAATAATAATAAACACTTTATTTAAACAGGGTGACTAGAATTACACGAAGTAATTTTCATCTAGGCCCTAAATGAAATAAATGAAATAATAATCAATACAGGAATCAAATTTCTTGTATGTAAGGCCTGGACCTGAAATATATATTTGTAATATTTATAATATTTATAAAAAAAATTGTCAAATATCCCAACTTCATTACAATACAATATTTATTGAACTCTCCCCAAAGAGGCTTTTCAGAGCCAAATACATGACAAAATATATTAAACTATAATATAATATATAATAATTAAAAGTACAGTTTGTACAATAAACCAGCAGGAATGTTTTCTCAATTTTGTACAAAAGATTAGTATGCAGGGCTCGAAATAGCGGGCTGCCAATGGCCAAAAGCAGGCTATATTCTAGAAATGGCAGGCAAAAACAAATTTGAACTTCCAAGTAAAAAAAAATGGCAGGTGAAATTCTATAGATATATGTCATTTCATTTGTTATATATATACTAGATCATTTAGTTGGCTAAATACGTTTATATTTGAAATGTAAATCCAAGTTCACTGTAGTAAAATAGACAAGTTTAAAAATAATACAAACATTGATTCTTACAATATGACTCATATGAGACATCGCCATTTTGGCAGTTCAATTAATAAAAATGGCACGTTAAAATTTATTTCACCTGCCAAAAAATTTTAGACTGGCAGGCTATATTTTTTCACTACTTCGAGCCCTGTTAGTATGCCCTATCATAATGAATATGCGTCCTCTTATCTTGCTTTAAATCAAAAGGAAAATATCGGTGAAATGTTGTATGAAGATCAATAGCTTATTCAAGTGGCCAACATTAGAAAACAGTAGACAGTATCTACCACTTATCAAATATGACAAGTCAGTTTTTGGCCTGAAGGCCCTGAACAGGATTGGACAGTATCCTGTTAAAATGCATACTATGCGTGGCATATCCATACATGGGCACAACACACCATTTTCACGTCGTCTTTGACATCCGCTTCCTCGATCTAAATCTGTCTAATGTTCATGGAACAGCAATTTAAACTATTTTCAGCCACAACACTAATAACACTGCAAAGTTCTACCACTGACATTCTTTGTAATATGTCATTTAAGTAGTTATATGTATGCTACATACCTTTCCTCTGTCATGCAGCTGACTTCTATATCCTAGAATGGAGATTTTAAATCAAACATTATAGTATTATACTGTAGCATTAATGGTTATAACCAGTGCCAGCTACAGTAGTGCTCATATTCTCCTAAATTATAACCCATTACAACCAGGTGAACTACTGTACATTAAATGAAACTATTAAACACCAATTAAACAGCAATGAACTATAATTAGTATAATAATACATGCTACATCTATATTATTGTACTCACAGGGTTCGAAATAGCCGCCGGCTTCCGGCGATAGCCGGCAGTTTTAGGACCTTGCAGGCGATTTTTAATTTCAAAGCATAGTGGGGATCGGCGAAAATATTATATTTATTCACCGATGACTCGCTTACAATAACACCATACCGTACTTATACCCAGACAGAACTTGTTAATGTTTATTCCTACACATGTTGTGTTGGTTTACATCACTATTATTTGGCCTATGCCCACTCCAGAACATAACTAAAATTTGCTTGGAAAATAGTCAGCAAAAATTTTCCACCTGGCTGCAAAAAACAGCCTACAAAATTTGACATATTTTCAGAACGTTATTTCGAACCCTGACTCACTAATGCAATATAATTTTAGGGACAGGAAAGTGATGGGAGCCTGGGTGGGGGATTTTCAGCTTGTATTAATTTTGCTGTCTGCTTGCTGTGGAGGAATTTTTTGCATTATTTGAAAAGAATTTTTCTTTGCTTAATCTTTAATCGGTTCACCTGTGCGATTAATTAATGTTTAATCAACACAGTTTTTAACCAATCAGAATGGAGTAAATTTACTAAAATGATATTAGGCACGAAAATATGACACACTTTTTTGGGCAAGAGGAAGGATTCACAGTTTTGGTAATATAAAACATCAGCTGAACGGACTTGACCACCTCTTTAATAAAGTTAATATTTGGACAATAATGAGTTGATATTTCACATGTTGAGTCAGAATGAAAATGTTCTTTTGTTATTATTTACATATAATATGTAACCAAGACATTGAAAGAAGCAAGATCACATGAACATTACTGTACTTGAATTAAATGAAATGTATATTGCGTTCTTACCAACAACTTGTAAGGTCAATTGATTTTTGTTCGACTTCATTGTATCAAACACATCAGATGATCAGACACTCTCTGTCCGACACTTGAACCAGTTTATTTATTAACTGTACAGTGTATTAACTATTCAGTGATAACATGGCTATTTACCAACGCGTACAGTGTATTATAAAGTAAACGATACCAAATGCCTTCGCACACTTTATACACACATATATTCCCAATATTGTATTAAGGCATGAAACACTATGAAACAGCAGGAGGGCACTTACAGTTGTTCAACCATGACTTTGATATTGAATTTATTTTTATTTTCCGACGCACTTGTTAATACGCAACAAAGAAAACACTTACCATCGGAAAGAACGATGTTAAATTTTCCGTTTGCACTTTCTGTAACGTTTAGCCTAAAAGAGATTTGATATAGACACATTAACACATAAGTAGAACTTAAAAAATTAAATTATCGACAAAATGCGTGCTAAATTTTTATATCACTGCCGTCTGTGTAAAATTTGCGTCATATGTGGAAAAACATCAGTTTCACACTATTATACTATTACTTTTGATACTATTTAATAACGTGATACAATCATGGCTACAACTCACATGTTTTATGGCTTTTTACCTCGTCCATGAATAGTGGAATCCTATCTTTTTATATAAAGTATTTACATTTTTATTGAACCGTTTCCAAGGAAAATAAAAGTATAAAACAAAGAGTTCATGATGGCACAGGCACAGAATAAGAAGTTATACCAGAAGCGTAACTCTAGTCGTTTCCCCTATTGTTTGACGTCCACGAAAATTTTTAACTCGCTCACGTCAGGCCACGCCATCCTGGCTAGTACAGCCGGAAGTTTTTATCAGGATTTGGTAGGTACAAAGTGCCGGTTGTACTAGCCAGGATGGCGTGATTGATGACGAATCGCTTGTAAAAATGAGGACAAACATTTGCTCGAGTTACGCTTCTGGTATAATTTCCTATTCTGTGGCACAGGCACAGTCACTCTAATACTTCATGTAGCATGTATGATAACGAGACAATCGGGCGGCTGTTTTCGCAGGTTGTATAAGAAAAAGATAAAAGTATCATAACAAACTCCCACGCAAATGCAAATTTGCAATTTCGTTTCAAAAATACTTTTGTTATGTCAAATATATACTCAAGTGATCTCAAAAGAAATTGTAAGTTTCCTAGTTTTTTCTAGTTTATATTTGTTGCATGTTTAGTGTTTGTGACTTTGTGTGGAAAAGATAAATCAGTTAAATTATGGGTTTATTGACGCATTTTCATGCAAGAACATACAGCAAAGCTAGTCGACAACATTCATACATGTACAAAGAACTTCATTGTAAAACTCTAATTGTCAATGGTGTTATTGTTCATACTCGAACCTACAGCTTCTAAATAACTATAATTTTGATGTTTATGCACCACAGCATTTTCTAAAATAAACTAGTTGTTAAATTTTCTGACACGACAGGTGACACTCGACTGCAGGCAACTATGTGTCTATTATTATGCAATTACTTTATGGTTTCTGTGTTTGGATGGCCTGATCCAAACATGTGGAAATGTTGCAAGAGTTAAGAAAAGCGTGCAAAATCACGAGCTGAAGGCGAGTGATTTTGCATGCTAGTTTTCTTAACTCGAGCAACATTCCCAAGTGTTTGGATCAGGCCATCCAATTTCCGTTTTAAAATTTCACTTTAAAAAACTTTCACTTTAAATTTCTGTGTTTTGATGGCCTGATCCAAACACAGGTTTCGACTAGGGGTGCACCGGATTTGGAATTTTCAAATCCGGCCGGAACCGGATTTACCGGATTTGGACAAAAATTCCGGCTGGATTTGCCGGATTTGAGATAAACCGGTAATGGGGACAATTGGGGATAAATCAGTATTCAAAATGGTGGTTTATGTTTTTTACTATTTTTAGTTAGTGTCAGTTTAGATTTTTGATTGTGTTTAAACCTTATTAAAATATTTTTTGTTCATAACTTAAAATTTTATAATAATATAAGTGTTTTTTAAACTTTAAAGCTGCCAAATTGATGGTTTATCCCATTATTGGTGAATTTTTAAGGCGAAAACAGAAATTTAAATCCGGCCGGATTTTCTCCAAATCCGGCCAGATGCCGGAAAATTCGTTAAATTCGGCCGGAATTCCGGCCTGATTTGGAATCCGGTGCAACCCTAGTTTCGACCAATCAGAGCACATGTTATATACATCTTCAGGTTTTTTTTCAGGTTTTTTTTTGGACCGTAAAACAGCCCCAAAAACTCAATCTTGAATTGAGTTTTAAACTCAATCTTAATCTCACCAAAAGACTCAGTGTAGTAAAAATGTAGTTGTTTGAGTTAAATTTGTGACGTGTGCAAATTAGTTTTCAGTTGGAAACCCCACAATCAAGAAAAAATGGCTGGAATTCATTTCACAACACAAGAAAACAACGCAATCGCTATCTTTAACCAGTTTATAGTCTCCCTTTGTGCCCCTGCTTTAACACATTGCGTCTCAACTACACTTATATTGGGTACAGGTGTCAGCCTCCCACAGCTGCCCCACACCCCAGCTGTTCAGCTAAGCTCAATCTTCTCTACAAAAATGGACCCAAGAAAAAATCCTGAAAAAAACCCTGATGTTATTTTATAAAATATTAGGGGCATTTATACGGGACAAAATAAGACGCGACTTACATAAGACGCGACTTACATAAGACGCGACTTAAATAAGACACAAGTTTGTTGTATAAAAGGTACAAAATTCTTATGTAAGATGCGTCTTGGATAAGACGCGTCTTACATAAGAACAGGACTTTTAGCTGTTCTTATTTAAGTCACGTCTTAAATAAGATGCCCGAAACTTGAAACAACGTAAAATTATTAGCCTTGCATATTCGAACAAAAACAACTGAAACAACATTATAGCTATAGCAAGTAAACTAGGAGTTACTATCGCAAGGAAAATGCTGCCGATATGTACATGTAGGATGTGCTACAAAAAGAGCGTTTTTCACTGTATGTATGATTTATTGTCTTACACATCATCGTTCCTCAGTTACCTTCGTACAATTATATCTTACATCTAATCTTATGAAAAGTATATTTTAATATACTTAACAGTGCGACTTTGATAGTTGACACATAATATAAATGACAAGATGTGAATATTATTGAATGATTTTGTCACTCGTACAACTTTTAATTTGGCTATTCAAACAATTGATTTAAAATAGTTGAATTTATACTTACTGGGATGTTATTGCTTATTGGGATGTTGAAATTATGTTTGTTTTAAATACATTTAATTGATATCCCATAAATTCATTTTGTATGATTTCATTGACCTTGACGTTGTTCAAAATCATTTTGTATTGTATTGAAACTGTATGTCTATGACCTATGTTATGTACTATATTAACCCATTGAGTCGCATTGCACCCTGATGCACCCTACTTTGAACAGTATTTTACTCTGTCTAACGCCAGACGATTTTACTCGTCAAGGGGAGAGTGCTGGCGCTTAATGGGTTAACTGATCTATCTGCCCATGTGTCTAGTTAACCCATTGGGTCGCATTGCACCCTGATGCACCCTACTTTAGTATTTTACTCTGTCTAACGCCAGAGTATTTAACTCTGTCTAACGCCAGAGTATTTTACTCTGTCTAACGCCAGATGATTTTACTCGTCAAGGGGAGAGTGTTGGCGCTTAATGGGTTAACATGCCCAAAATCTGTACTAAAACTGCTTTTTCCATTTTGTGATTGGCACAGTTTAATCAAAGAATCCTCCCGTTGAACCAGAGCCTTCACGATATTTCAATTTATTATTAACTGAAGGCTCTGGAATCCAGGATAGCTTGCCATTGAATACAGTGCAATGCTTATATTTCTGAATGAATAAGATCATACTCAGAAGAACAGTCAGAACTGCAAAACTATATTGTTAGAAAGAAGTTGAAGTTGTGAGCATTATTGTGGTAACACAGCCATATGTATATATCAATGTATGTCAGTAGAATCATGTTTATAGGCTTTATATATAACTGAGGCAGTCTTATACAAGTCATATCTTATACAAAAGTCAGTTGATATGCTATATTACATGTAATTGCTGATAAGTCCATATATGCAGACAACAATCCACACTGGGTAGCTCTAGGAATCTTGTTAAGCCTGATTTATTAACAACATCCCGCGTACTATAACTATAAACATCTAGAAATAGAACGTACCGAACACTATTATATACTCACCGCCTTTGGCTTTGCACATATTAAGTGACATAACAAACAAATAAAATAAAGTTAATTTGCTTCTTGTATCAGCATAAAGGCATTAATCATGGATTACTGTCGATTTGGTCGGGAATAGATCAGTGATTCAGTGGGTATTATAATTGCCGATATATTCTTGAAATCATATTGTTTCAATGCCTCTATATCGAAGTTTAATACACTAAAGTGACTAAACAAGTATAAACAGCAGATTTAAATATAAATGCCTTCATGTATTATAAAATATATCACCAGACAGATAGACAGGGCACACGGCACGACTACATCACTATACGAGAACGAAATAAAGCCATCCTTACCTGAATTATTCAAAATATTGTCGATCATTCTTGCGCCAGAGACACAAAATAACACCGTGCTTTATTTACCCATTCATCATCACAAATATTACTCGGAATTTTTATGGAAATTCGCATTATTTTATGATTTTTATATTTCCGTCCGTTTATAACAGTCGCCATGTTGTGGACAAACCCCCCCGGGAACAAAAAAATAATATCAAAACAGCTAGTTTTGGCCCGTCCGTGGATGACAAAATGACATAAATCGAGATTGTAGCGGCTATAAACTCGGCGGTCACGTGGTAAGCACACCACATGTAGAGATTAGTGTGCTGCCTCGCTACGCTCGGCAGCAATAAGAATAAATCCGTAGAGAACCATTTATGCGATAACTCAGCTTATATAAGACGCGTCTTATGTAAGACGCGACTTATTTTGTCCCGTATAAATGGCCCTAATGTGGTTCCCAAACGGTGAAATTTCATTGGGTCATTCCAGAAAACATCGGATTCCATACCACCCCCACGGAGGAAATAGGAAGTTAACCCCCCTACCCCCTTCAGATATCCTAATATTTTAGAAACAATTTTTTCTCCCCTCCCCCTTCGGACGGCAGAAATTTCCTCCGTGGGGAGAGTATGGATCTTTTCTGGAACGACCCATTTCTCGAAACCTAATTACCGGCACAATCAGTTTTCCGAGCCTAAACATCAATATCGTCAAGCAAATTTTCCCTCAAAGATTTTTCGAAGCGGTCGCTATCGGTGGATTCCGAAACCAAGAACAACAGCAGACAATACAGATACAAGAGCAAGTCAAATCAACCCGGCATACAAAGTGAATCCTTTCCAATCAAAGTCAGAGTTACAGCTTGGAGAAACGGAGTCCTGGGAAGCTTACCTACAGCTGGTCAACCGCACCTTGGACCAGTTTGGAACCCTTGTTTAGGCGCAATCCAACGGACAAGTGATAATTATACATCTCAGAGAAGTGTAAATTTTAATAATTTAATTAACATTAAGACTAATACAAACCCCACCATTGGAAAGTCCTCAGTCCCGTCCTTCCTCTTGTCAAATGTATGCCATATAACAAATAAGGTAGACGAATTAGCTGCTGTTGTATCGATCTATGACCCATCCGTGGTAATGATAACTGAATCTTGGCTAAGTGATGATATCGGTGATTCCTCGGTTAAAATCGGTAATAAATACAACATATTTCGTCGCGATAGAAAGTCTCCTGGCGGTGGAGTGATCGCCTACGTGAATAATTGTTTACCAGCAGAGCGTATGACTCACCTCGAAGAAGAAAACAAAGAAGTGATATGGTTGCTGTTAAAACCCCCCAGAACCCCTAGACCTTACAGTACAATCGTTGCTGCTGTTGTGTACTACCCTCCTGGTCAATCCGCCGAACAAGCAATCGATATGAATGAATACTTAACTACTTGTATAGATAGTCTCTTGCGCGAACGTCCTTCATCTGGAATTGTTATAGCTGGGGACTTCAATCAACTAAAATTAAGAGAACTGTGTAACAGATTTAATTTAAAAAGATCCGTAACTAAACCGACTAGAGGACACAACATTCTTGATCAAATCCTTACAAATATGCTCCCTCTCTTTGACACTGTTAGCCATCTCCCCCCAATCGGACGCTCCGACCACCAATGTCTTCTAATCAAGCCCATTAAAAGACAGAAAACTCCGGTTACGTCAAAAAAAATTAGATTGATGAAACGAGCAAATTTAAATGACCTCTCCCTGAATATGGCTTCTGAAGATTGGACTGCTGTATATTCAGCACTGGATGTGGATGAGAAAGTATCAGCTTATAACTCCATTATAATCAAGATGCTTGACGAGTTCTTACCCGAAAAAACCATCAGAGTACATCACTCTGATAAACCGTGGATCACTGGTAATATTAAAATGCAAATCAAAGCTCGTCAGAAGGCCTTTTCTCGTGGTGATCAGCCAAGATACAAACAACTATGCGAGAAAGTGGAAAATCTTATAGCTAAAGCTAAAGCCACCTACTATCGGTCCAAGGCCTCAGAATTTCGTACCTCGAATCAATCGAAGTGGTATAACTGTATCTACTCTTTAGTAAATGCCGAAAACACAACCCACACCCAATTTCCACACGGGCCCGAAAACCTAGACTTATCCGACTTAGCTGAAAAACTTCAGAAAGCCTTCACTAAACCATGGTCGGACCGTTACACGAATGTCGCCTTTGAAATACCTGAAGTGAACCACCCACATAAGAATAACAAACCACCCCTTCCTTCTATTGGCCAAGTTAAAGCGGTCTTAAAACATCTTAATCCAAGAAAAGCAACTGGCATCGATAAGGTTCCTGCATGGATGCTCAAACAATACCACGAAGACCTAGCTCCTGTGGTTTATGACATTGTGTGCTGTAGTATAAGTCAATGTTGTTATCCATCACTCTATAAACATGCCCTAATTTTCCCTGTTCCTAAGGTGCAACCGCCGAGAGACATTAACAATGATTTCCGCCAGATATCAGTCTTACCCCATCTTGCCAAGATCCTGGAAAAGATCCAGCTCCAGTTAAATATTGAAGACCTGAAAATTAAGAATAACCAGCACGCGTTTACTCAACATCGAAGCACAGTCTCTGCGTTAATATCAACTACCCAAACCTGGTTTAATGCCACTGATTGTTCAAAAACAGGCAAAATGGGGGTTCATGCGGCCTTCATTGACTTTCGTAAGGCCTTCGACCTTGTGGATCACAATATTCTTTTGAACAAATTAGCAGCTATGAACATAAATAAACCCTTCTGGTTATGGATTAAAAGTTTCCTTTCCGGAAGAGTTCAACAAGTAAATCTCAATGGTACCTTATCATCCATTGCAACATGCCCGGCCGGAGTCCCGCAAGGCTCTGTAATATCTCCCATTCTTTTTAATACCTACATTGATGATTTGGAAGACGCCTTACCAGAACAACTAAAAGTCAGTACGAATAAGTATGCAGATGACTGCACACAACACCAAATAGTGAGCGTAGATTCTAATAGTAATTTACAACAATCTATCAATGAAGTAAATAACTGGGCGGTGTTAAATAAAATGGCAATTAATGCTAAAAAAACGAAGGACATGTGGATCTCGTTCACGGACGCTATACCTGAACCACCACGTCTTCGTATTGGAAATGAGTTAATAGAAAGGGTCAACGCTTTTAAATTACTTGGCGTGTCGTTCCAAAATAATCTAAAATGGAACGCACATGTTGAAGAGATTACACATAAAGCAAATAAACGCCTTTACCATCTTAGAGAATGCAGGAAATCGCAGTTACCAGCTGAAGTCGGTATTATTACCTATCAATCCAAAATAAGACCAATTCTCGAGTATGCATCACCTGTCTGGGCGGGACTGCCTAATTACCTGCGAGATGAAATAGAGCGGGTTCAATCCAGGAGCTTAAGAATCCTTGGCCTGGAAAAAGATTACCTACCACCGCTGAATGAAAGAAGGGAAGAGGCAACTAGTCGAGAAGTTGATAGGTTTATGAACGATCCAAACCATCCCTGTCGCAGTGTTTTGCCAAAATTAATTAACAATCGGTACTATTTAAGGAACATTGACCGGAATCGCAATATATCATTCTTCTCAGGAACTGAAAGGCATAAACATTCATTTTCAGGTAGAGCTTGTAAATATGTATAAATAGTTTTAACTTATTAGAAGAACTTATTAGATTAAATAATTTATTAGTTTTAACTTCTTAGTTAGTTTTCTAAATTATCTTACAACAATTTGTAATATAAAAACATATCCACAGCATATATACTTTCTTAAACAAGTAATTGTAAGTCCATTGTACTTTTTTATCTTAAGATGGATGAATAAAGCTATTATTATTATTATACAAATTGCAGTACTGATATATGTGGGTTAAAAACTCAAAACAAACGTTTAGCTGAGCGGGATGCAAGGATGGCAGTCTCCTTCACTGCCAGACTATAAAATTTCGGCTTTGGAGGAAATTAACTGTTCAAAATCTGCCCAGAATTTTTCAAATGTAAAAAACTGCGAATATTTCTGAAGAATGATCTGCACAAAATGCCTTAAGTTCATGAACAAATAACAAAAAGCAGATTTTTGACAAATTAAAAACACATTCTGACTGCAAGATATGGTCTGCCATAATTTTTTCTGTGAAAATATCTGACATTTCTGCACAATGAAAAATATTTCCTGTGCATGTGTAAAATAAAACTTTTCAGTCTTGGTCCAGAAACTCTCATGCCTTATGGGAAGATCACAATTTCTTGAGGGCCTGCAGAATCTTGTAGGCAAATGGCATCAGCTGCATAGGCCCATTTACATGAGACCGAAAACGAAGTCAAACTGGGACCATTTCGTTTCGGTCATAGTAATATTTATAATAGATGTTTACATGAGACCAGGACGAAAATAAATCAGACTGGTCTCAAGTCATTCTGCCTGCTGGACGAAAGTGTTTATATCACGGTAGGAGACAGTCCTTAAAGTGCGCATGCGCACACTACCGGACGGGACCCTATCTTTAAAGACGATGTCCACTCCTGTGCACATGCGCAAACTTTGTTTACGTTTTGAACTGTTACATTTGCAAAAATATGATATACTAACTGAATATCTAACACTTTTCTGGTTCGCTATACTTGTAAATGAATATAAACTATAAGTTTCAATTCAAAAAAGTTCGAAAGATGCAAAATTTGGGCAATGTTTATATCTGGGGGTCCCCCTTTGTTAATGAGCAGAACTGATGCGCAGAACGGAGTGGACATCATATCTTTAATAATATTAAAGTACTGAAAGATTTATTGAAATTTGAACATTGTTGGATCAGTATTGGGCCAATATTGTTGGGTCTGTTCACCGGGTCCATTTAAATGACTCGATCTTTACATCTTCGGTGTCATTACCATTTCATGATTAATGTGTGATCATTGTCACTGCAACACGCTCCCCCAACATTTCCAATGTTGTCCATTTGAACGGGGCTAATTGATTGTACGTTGAACACGACAGACTACCACCAACAGCTGTAGACTGCATGCAGGCTAGCTGCAGAGTATTTAACAAATATAAAACATTTTCCGTGTTGATATACAGTTATATCAACACGAGTGGAAATTTGGAAAACGAGAAATTGTGTGGAAACACGACGCCCGAAGGGCGGAGTGTTTTCACACAATTTCGAGTTTTCCCAACTTCCACGAGTGTTGATATAACTATATATCAATACGGAAAAAATGTTTTATATTTGTTTTATAATATAGCAATGCCAAAAGCTCGAAGAATAAGAACAATTTCCGTGTTACAAGCGTCGGAAAATTTCCCGTGTTGACATGGAGTTATATCAACACGGCTCTTAGCCAATCAGCGTTCAGAATTTACAAATGCTATATTATAAACAATATTATTGCATAAAATGATCATGGGCGTACGGGAAGGAAAAAATTAGGGGGGCGGAAAGAAATTTGCCCGTCTTTTTCGGATTGTGCCCGACCAGTGCCGTGTACCATTTTAGGTCTCCAAAAAATTTTCAGACATACCAAAATTTTTCGGAACATCAAACAAATTTTCCCAAACATCGAAAAATTTACATAATTTCCCGCAAAATTGACAGAATTTGTCCCATTTATTTTTATAATAACCCAATATTGCCCGACTGTGACGCGAATATTGCCCAACTGGCTTTGTTTGCCAAACAAACTGGGGTTATTATTAAGAAAGATTTTATTGCTTTGACTATTTTTTGCCCGACTTTTGCCCAACTTTTGTTGAACATTTGCCCGACTTTTCGAGTTTGTAATCTTATTGGGGGGGGCAGCTGCCGCCCCCCCTGCTCCCCTATGAAAATGATTGTCCGCACATCTAATACAATCAGACTTTTCTAACACTGAAGCGAAGGACATAGTATCCAAAGACAAGAAGACAGCAATGTCCATATTGGAGAGGTTTCTGTTAATTTAGCTAGGGCAATGGGAGGGTTTAATATTTTAACTTAGTAGAATATATGAAAATTATGTATAACGGGGCATTGAAAACTGTGCCTTGTCTGTATTGAAGAGGTGCCCATATTAGAGAGGTGTCTAGCTGCAAGGTGAAGTTTGACTGCATGTATTTTACAAATTTGAAGGTATACATGCATGCAGGGACCGTCGCAACAAATGTCCCCTCTGTTGTTGGTTAATTACTATAAGTTATAGTAATTAACCAACAACAGAGGGGACATTTTTTTGGGACACCCTGTATTACATTAAAAGCTGTAAGTAATAGATTTATTCCTTAACCTCTGAACATGTCATTACCAATTTACCAAAGATTGTCATGCACTTTTGCACATTAGGAGTTATTACGGCTTGAGTGTTGCATTTCCTGAACTCTGTTCAGTTGCTGAGCGAAGTGATCAAAATGACAATAAAAAACCCAACATCAAACATGTTCATGGGTTATTCATTATTAATTATATTCAAACTAGAATTCACATGATATATATTTTACATTGAAATGCTCTAAAACAGTACTACAGGCTTTTTTTCAGGATTTTCTCTTGGGTCCGTTTTTGCAGAGAAGATTGAGTTTAGCTGAACAGCTGGGGTGGCTGCAATCCCCCCCCCCCCTGACACCTGTACTCAATAAATGTAGTTGAGATGCAAAGTGTTAAAGCAGGGGCACTAAGGGACCATTCATTATTTATGACCGGGGGTGGGCTGGCAAAATTCAATTAACAACTAAACAAAATGTCCTGCCCCACCTCCTGCATTACAAAAAAATTCAATGACCCCCTTCACACGAGTTCTAAAAAATATTAACCCCCCCCCACCACCACCACCACCGACAATATAATAAATGGACAGTACTGTATAGAAATGAGCTGTTTAAACTTGTTGTCAAAGGCATCAGATCTTTAATTTACATGAGCTTTCAACAGTTAATATGTATGCCCATTTAACCCATTAATTAAGCTGCAGAGTTTTCTGTCACAACGAGTAAAATCGTCTGGCATTAAACAAGTAAAAAAATAAGTAGGGTGCAATGGGTTAACTAGAGACATTGTCAGATTTTTTGTTAATCCATTAAGCTGCAGAGTGCCGAAGAGGCTAAAGTTATACCACTTTAAAGTTATACCATACAAAGAGTATAGTAACTAGTAAACTGTAGAGTGTAGTTTGCTCCAAACGTAAAAAGTTGCTCAAAAGTTGCTGAGCACAATCGGGACATGCCTAGCAGAGCTTATCCGTTGACGAGTAAAATCAGGTCAGGAGTTTAGGGTAGCTGAAAGCAAGGGCCAAAGGCCTGAGGAAATGTTTAAATTTAGAGTCTCTGAAATGCCATTTCCTGGACTTTGCAGAAGATTTGACAGAATTCTGATGGGCAGAAAACAGCATATTAGTGTGTCAAAATTTACAATTTAGTAGTACTAAATGGGTGAGGGCGTATTTAATTAACTATATGTTGGATAAGTTGCAGGAAAGTATGAGAAATATCTTCATTCTTTGCATAGTATAGTTTAGTATAGTATGGTATAGTAGAACTTTATTTAACCACGCTTCCCTCATCACCCATGGATGATTTTCATGAGGGGCGTCACACAAATTACATTCTAAAAACTAGTATAAATGCTAGTACTACTATGAAAATTACTATGAAATAGAATAACACAGAATAGCAAATACGTAGATAAAATGTTAAAAAACCAAGACTATTCGATGCCTGACTCTGTTGCACACATTATTTTATATAATTTTTGAAGCTACTTAAAGATTCTGTTTGCTTTGCCTGCGTATAGGTAAACTATTCCATAGAACAGCCCCGCGCTATATCCAAAACTCTTTGCTGCTATTAGGTATATAATTTAAATGATAAAGGCTGCATGATTTTGGAAAAAAGAATGATTATTAGCAAATGATTGGGAGGAGCTGCAGCTCCCCCCCCCCCCGGTTGCTACGGCCCCTGGGTTAGGAGTAGGGTTAGGGTATACATACTACGTCAATGAACTACAAAGACCGCTAAACAGCTAGTGACTTGGACATTTGACTCGGGCTCGGATTTGACTCGGACTTGACACGGTAAACCAACAAACTCTTTACTAAATTAAACCATGAATAAAATACCTAGTATAAACTAGTGTATATAGTGTATGCCAAACTTTCCCTGGACGTAATGTTGCTACATCCAGGTGATCTCGTGTTCGTATTTTAGCCAATCAGCGCTCAGAAAGGGTTGTCCGAATAGAAATCCATTTTGATGTATTCAGTCAATTATATCTTTCGTTATTACCTCCGCCAGGAGGTTATGTAATCATCTGGGTTTGTATGTGTGTGTGTGTGTGTGTGTGTATGTGTGTGTGTATGTGTGTGTGTGTGTGTATGTGTGTGTGTATGTGTGTGTGTGTGTATGTGTGTGTGTTTGTCTGTGAGCACGATAACTCAAGAAATACCAAACATATCCGTACGAAATTTTTTGAATGCATTTCCCATCGGCTAAGGAAGAACTGATTAAAATTTGGTTGAATTTGGTTAAAAATTGAACGAGAAATGAACAAAATTTTGTCTTGCTTTTCCCGGTCAATTAACAAAAAATATTACTGAATGCGTAATTAGGACATGTATAATTTATGCACTCAGTGCTAAGACAATAATGAGATGATAAACCTCATTAAGCTTCGGCCTCATTATCTATTGTCTTAGTTGCATTTCACGCGACCGAAATTCAATGTCTAAAACAAGGCTTACGGAGTTACGCATTATTACGTTCAGCAAAGTGCCAGTCCATTCAAATTCTAACAACATTAGATTACTTCAATACAGGGTGTATAAAAAGAACGCAACCTCGGAATTTCCCAAGAAATCGACATTGTTTTAAAGACAAAAGATTTTAGCTGCCTGGGAATTTAAAATAGCACAACTGTGAAAATTACTGCACGCGCGAGTGCATAAAGCAAAATTTATGATTACATGACACTTAATAAGTTTTTATTTTACAAGTACTGTACAGCACAACAACAGTAATATGTTCTATTAGCAATTCGATTTCAATTCGCGGGGGCCTGAAATCTTTTATGCTTAAGAATTATAAAGTGGATTTCTTAGGAAATTCCAAGGTTGCCTTTCACTTCCGAGTAACGGGCGGAGGTATGCAGTCTCTGAGTGCCCTCTAGTTCTTTATGAAACTAGTTGAAATTTTGTAATTATGTTTGGTTATGAGAACTATAGCTCTGACAAAAATTTGGAATCAAAATAAAGTATATTACAGGAGATATTCAGTTGTTTTAATCATAAAATGGATTTCTATTTGACAACTAGTGCCAGTACTTTTCCGCGTATCAAGATCACCTGGATCGCTTACTCGTTAATTATCTTTCTTTGCTTAAAATGTACATAATTGAAATATTACAAAAATTTATGGCAAGTTTATGGCAAAAGTTGTAAGGTAGATGTTCGATTATTTTTTCACAATATCAGCTGTGCGCATTGCATTTTGGGTATTTGTGCATTGCATTTTGGGTCTATCTGTTGATTAAAATTGAGAATTTTGCTAGTTATACTTGAATTAAATTTGCAGCCTTGCTCACTCCCTGTGGTAGCAATAATCGTTACATGTCAAATGTTTCCCCACTATAATTCACAATAATAAATAACTGGACCCCCCTTCTGAACCAATATTTTTAGGTGGCTCCCCTTTTCGGTAAAAAATACCTCATGACCCACCCCTTTTTTTTTGCCAGCCTACCCCCAGTCATAAATAATGAATGGTCCCTAAGGGACACTATAAACTGGTCAAAGATGGCGAATGCATAGTTTTTCTTGTGTTGTGAGATGAATTCCAGCCATTTTTTCTTAATTGTCGGGTTTCCAACTGAAAACTAATTTCCACACGTCACGAATTTAACTCAAACAACTTCATTTTTACTACACTGAAACTTTTGATGAGAAGATTGAGTTTCAAAACTCAATTCAAGATTGAGTTTTTGGGGGCCGTTTTACGGCCCTAAAAAATCCCTGAAAAAAACCCCTGTACTAGTATTCCAAAGGTCGTAGGTTCGATTCCCACCGTGGCCATTTGGGCTAGTATTCCAAAGGTCGTAGGTTTGATTCCCACCGTGGCCAGACATATTTTTCAAGCTTGCCCGGTGTGGATACACACTCAGAGTAACATCACAAACATCATATCCACCTGAGCACACAAAATCGCTCTAAAACAGTTTTACCCAGTAAAGGATATCAGCAATAATTAATGTTATATGGATGCAGACTTGCGGAGGAAGTGGATTATTAATCCTTTAAGTAGCAATGCACCCTACTTTAAAGTATTTTACTCTGACTAACGCCAGACAATTTTACTCGTCAAGTGGAGAGTGCATGTGCTGCCACTCAATGGGTTAAATATTTATTTAGATGTTTCCAGATGATACACCACTTTGAACCGCATTTCAGCTAAAATAAGTAAATAACAGGGGGTAGTTTAAAACCCTCGAGTTATTTGTTAGTCTATTAAGTATAAAAGTATTTCCTTTGTATGACAGCACTCGCCCCTACACATCAGACGAAGGGTATAAAATTCCAATAATCCAATTAGGCAGCACCTTGTAGAGCTGTGCAAACTTCGATTTTTTTTAGCTTCGGCTCCAGCAGTCAAAACTCTGGCTCCTGCTTTGGCTGCAAAAGGGGAAGCAGGCGAAAGTATTTCAGTGTAATTTCAGAATTTATTTTATTCCTTTTTGAGCTTTCTCCTTTACTTATCAAATATATGTGCTTCAGTTCTTGTTTAAACAATGTTTTGTAGAAAGTAAAACCGCACGGCAGCATGGTATTTTCGCCCAAAATGGTATTTTCGCCGGGTCAGCGGATTTTTGTATCAAAAGCGATACCGGGTCAGCGGATTTCGCCGGGTCAGCGGATTTCGCCGGGTCAGCGGATTTTTGTATCAAAAGCGATAGCAATGCAATTGCAGAATTTTCAAAACCACAAATCAGAGCAAGTAATTAAACTTTATAGTAACTTCAAATCATTCAACTTAATTTTTCCATTACCAAAAGTTTATTGAAATATGAAATAATAGTTTTCCAACTCCGGCTCAGGCAAAATATGCCGGGGCTCCGGTGCACAGCTCTAGCACCTTGACATGCAAATATCACCATAATCATACCGCAATAAGTGCCCACTTTCTCTTCCGTTAACTCAGACGTGCATGTCTGATCATTGGATTCTGTACTATACTGTTAACAGTCCATTTTCCCCGCACCTTACATTCGTAATGTTGTATTTACAGTGTGACTGAATCCTGATGACTTCAAACACACAAGGTAATATGCAAGCATGACTTTTATATTTAACAATTATTCGCCGAAGGCGAGGTGATTATCGGAGAATATTCACCGAGACAAAGTCGAGGTGATTATTACCCGGTAATTACCGAGCAGGCGAGCCTAAGGCGAGTATTTTTACACAAGTAGTTGGAATTCTGGAATCTTTTATATTAAACCAAAACATTTATCTTACCATGATGCAACATATTAATCTTAATATATTTGCATTGGAAAATCAGGCATTCACGTAAAATGTCTTATATTTGCCAATATCTTTTCGCATGATTTTTTGACTGACATTTCCTTGAAATAATTAGTAGCCTAAAAGGTTGTGAAACGAGCAGGGCTGCAAATAAATATTTGACTTGACAGGACATTTGTCCGATCACTTCTAATTTTGGTCGGACATAACTTGAATTTGGTCGGACAAAAACCAACACCACTAAATTTGGTCGGACATATATAGTATACGTCACAAGATATACATAAGTCACGAGACAAGTATGTATAGCCATTCCGGCGCAACGTTAAGTAAAATGCTAGAATGCCTCGCAAATTTTATTGCAAAATGCAAATTGAGTGAATTTGCAATCGGATTTTGTCACAGCAAAAAAATGTATAGTGTGACAAATTTTTTTTGTGATCGGACCAATGTCCAATCAAAATTACTTTTGCTCGGACATTTGTCAAATTTAGTCAGATATTTATGATGTCCAACAGTAATTTGCAGCCCTGAACGAGTGTCCTTGTAGCAGGAAACATTCAGTAATTGTTTGAATATTTGATAATCGATTAGACGACGCACATATCACCGTATCCTGTACAACAGAATATCCTGCTTACAAACTTGACAAGGCATCAAAATGCTGGGGTTTGGTAACGTTAAAGGCCTCGGATTATGAACCTGAGGAATCAAAAAGACCAACATTGGATATTGTTGCCGTAATTGACAGGAGTGGGTCTATGAAGGGAGAAAAATTGTTTCTAGTCAAGAAATCGCTGAAATTCTTGGTTCAAAACTGTATGTATACGTTCAACAATCATGATAAAAGACGTTTTATTTCCCTTGAATCCTCTATAAACCCAAAGAGCAATGCTGTTTGGAGTATTTGCGAATTACGGTATACGTATAAGCTTTCGTTTCGAAAGTTTATTTGCGGTATTTAGTGGTATCCGATTGTTACTGTGTATCTAAGTTTCATCCAGAAGATTCATATGAGTAATCATATTGTCAAGCGTGTAGAAATCCTAAGGATTCACTGAGAACGTCTGGTTCTTTATAAAATGTTAACGAGAACATCGTTGCGAGTCCGGTGGCAATGATGCAAAATTAATACTTTATGCATATACGTTTATGCATACGAAATTTGAAGATTCTATTTTCACTTTTTGTTCATATTTCAGAGACCAATTACCGTTTAAGTGCGCCATATTATATTTAAAATATATACCGGGTGTTCAAAAAAACAAACTGGACACTGTTTCATTTCATGTAACGTAAAAGCTATGCAAGCCATCGCTATGAAGTAAAAATCATTGCATTCAGAAAGGACTAACTTAGATTGGGATATACTGTATAGAACTTGAATTCACATGCAATATTGACTGCGCTCAGTGGCGGAAATCTTGGTGGGGCGGGGGGGCGGTTGCCTCCCCCCCACCTTCAGGGAAAATTGACGAATGTTCGGAAATTTTGACCTAAAAGAGGGCTAAAAACAGTCTTTTCGAGTGCCAGGGGAAAGTAAGTCGGAAATTTGAAGGTTTTGTCGGAAATTTAGGGGACTTTGCCCCCCCCCCCCGGAAAATGTGAATTTCCGTCACTGACTGCGCTATTGATGTTTGAACGTTAAACTACTGTTTTTGAAAAAGTCAAAAATGAGGATAAAACAACCTTATAATTAGCCAATTTTTACCTAGTTTTCACCAATTCCTAAAACGCATTCAAATTCAAACAGCTGTATCTCGCTCAATATTGCATGTAAATTCAAGTGTTATATATCCAAATCTAAGTTAGTCTATTCTGAATGCAATGATCTTTATTTCATTGCGATAGCTTTTATAGCTTTTTACGTTACATGAAATCAAACATTGTCCAGTTTTTTTTATACGTAATTACGTATATTCACCTTGTGAGGATTGAAAATTGTTTGTTTTGCTATTTTTTTACTAGTATGTGCTTAAGGAATCAGGAATGGACACGAATTATTGTTCAAATTAAATAATTATTTATACACTGCACTGTAAATTTGATTTTCGGGTACTCAGTTTCTTGGATTTCAAAACAATTAACGCACGTCGCTGATGAAAGTTGGTACACTTTGTTTTCAAAACGTTTGTGTCTCTTTATTTTTTACCTGGTTTAAATGTCTCTCTTTTTATCTGCCATTTGACCTTTTCTGTTTTCATACTTTTGTACTTATTTTGACACGTCAACTTCGTTAATATACTTTAATATCTGTATATAAGACGGGTCAAGACAGACGTCTTCCTGCATTGGCAGATCTACACCATGATCACATGCCAGGTATTTCACTTTCTCGGTTGCTAGGCCACCCCATCAAGATCGCATAATAGTTCTTCACCACTATCAACAACAGATGTTTCAGTTCGTTCTTCCTGGATTTGTAGGTCACCATCATGATCATACAAGACTTCTTCACCACTATCAACAACAGATATTTCAGTTCGTTCTTCTTCCTGGATTGGTAGGTCACCATCATGATCACACAAGACTTCTTCACCACCATCAACAACAGATATTTCAGTTCGTTCTTCTTCCTGGATTTGTAGGCCACAATCATGATCACACAATACTTCTTCACCACTATCAACAACAGATATTTCAGTTCGTTCTTCCCGGATTTGTAGGTCACCATCATGATCACACAAGACTTCTTCACCACTATCAACAACAGATATTTCAGTTCGTTCTTCTTCCCGGATTTGTAGGTCACCATCATGATCGCACAATAGTTCTTCACCACTATCAACAACAGATATTTCAGTTCGTTCTTCTTCCGGGATTGGTAGGCCAGCATCATTATCACACAATACTTCTTCACCACTATCAACAACAGATATTTCAGTTCGTTCTTCTTCCCGGATTGGTAGGTCACCATCATGATCGCACAATACTTCTTCACCACTATCAACAACAGATATTTCAGTTCGTTCTTCTTCCCGGATTGGTAGGCCAGCATCATGATCACACAATAGTTCTTCACCACTATCAACAACAGATATTTCAGTTCGTTCTTCTTCCTGGATTGGTAGGCCAGCATCATTATCACACAATACTTCTTCACCACTATCAACAACAGATATTTCAGTTCGTTCTTCTTCCCGGATTGGTAGGTCACCATCATGATCGCACAATAGTTCTTCACCACTATCAACAACAGATATTTCAATTCGTTCTTCTTCCCGGATTGGTAGGCCAGCATCATTATCACACAATACTTCTTCACCACTATCAACAACAGATATTTCAGTTCGTTCTTCTTCCCGGATTTGTAGGTCACCATCATGATCGCACAATAGTTCTTCACCACTATCAACAACAGATATTTCAGTTCGTTCTTCTTCCGGGATTGGTAGGTCACCATCATGATCACACAATAGTACTTCACCACTATCAACAACATATATTTCAGTTCGTTCTTCTTCCCGGATTTGTAGGTCGCCAGAAATTTCAGTTCGTTCTTCCCGGATTTGTAGGTCACCATCATGATCACACAATACTTCTTCACCACTATCAACAACAGATATTTTAGTTCGTTCTTCTTCCGGGATTGGTAGGCCAGCATCATTATCACACAATACTTCTTCACCACTATCAACAACAGATATTTCAGTTCGTTCTTCTTCCCGGATTTGTAGGTCACCATGATCACACAATACTTCTTCACCACTATCAACAACAGATATTTCAGTTCGTTCTTCTTCCCGGATTTGTAGGTCACCATCATGATCACACAATACTTCTTCACCACTATCAACAACAGATATTTCAGTTCGTTCTTCTTCCCGGATTTGTAGGTCACCATCATGATCACACAATACTTCTTCACCACTATCAACAACGGATATTTCAGTTCGTTCTTCTTCCTGGATTTGTAGGTCACCATCATGATCACACAATACTTCTTCACCACTATCAACAACAGATATTTCAGTTCGTTCTTCTTCCTGGATTTGTAGGTCACCATCATGATCACACAATACTTCTTCACCACTATCAACAACAGATATTTCAGTTCGTTCTCCTTCCTGGATTTGTAGGCCACCATGATCACACAAGACTTCTTCACCACTATCAACAACAGATATTTCAGTTCGTTCTTCTTCCTGGATTGGTAGGCCACCATCAAGATCGCATAATAGTTCTTCACCACTATCAACAACAGATATTTCAGTTCGTTCTCCTTCCTGGATTTGTAGGCCACCATCATGATCACACAAGACTTCTTCACCACTATCAACAACGGATATTTCAGTTCGTTCTTCTTCCTGGATTGGTGGGTCACCATCATGATCACACAATACTTCTTCACCACTTTCAACAACGGATATTTCAGTTCGTTCTCCTTCCTGAATTGGTGGGCCACCATCATGGTCACACAATAGTGTTATATTTTTGTATCTTTAATTCGGACTATATTTAATATGAAGTATTTAATGTGAACTATATTCAACTGTCTTGTCTGTCCGCCATTTTAATACACACATGCAAAACGTTCTTGTCCATGAGGGGTCTGGAACCTAGTGATGAGATCACTACATCACCCCCTTTTTTTAACTAAAAACTAACAAATTAACTTATAAAAGTAAAAGTATGCACGTTGTCTCATGTTTTATGGACATTTCATAGATTAATTGTACTTGTCAACGAATGATTGACAAGGTAATCTGGTTTCCAAATAGTTCTGTTGGTATATGGTGTCTTGTCGACTGCCTTCGCGACACTACTGGATGTTTTATGTAAATATTTTGAGTTTGTATTTGTGGCTAGCAGTGCCGTTAGAAGCAAATATTTGTTGTTGGGGGCCTCAACCAAGGGGGGTCTTGAGGCATTTTCTCCCGGAGATAATTTTGAGTTTTCGAAGCCTCGGAAGAACGGTTTCCGTGAGAGGAATTTTGATCAGAGTAGTGACGTTTTTGCATTTAAAAATTCAAGATTTTGTATACGCATTTTAGGCCTTTTTACAACATCATCCCCAAGTTCTGAAACAACGTTCGCTCTTTATACAATTGTAGTAACTGCCTGTGCAAGAAAGTAATCGAGTATTCAAGTGTGCAATGAAGTACAATCCTGATGACGGAATTATCCCTAGCCCAATAATAACCGAAAATGAAAGTAATAGCAAATAACACTTCATCTCGATTATGATTCTGTGTTAGATGTTAGTTAAATCACAGTTAAGGTTAAATTAGGTGAAACGTGTTTGCACGCACAACTGGCCTGTTATCGTATAATTGATGAGTTAGTTGCATAGCAACGATAAATCTCAGCTCGTGCAAAAAAATGCGCCATGAAGCGTTGAAAATGTTGGATTTTTTGATGAAATATTTTAAAATTAATTTATTCCTACCTTTCTGCTATTCAAGCTCCGACTGTGTTTTGAATTCTTTCAACTTTGCTTTATTTTTTCTCTTCTTGTTCGTGCTCTCCATGAAGGAATCAAGACTTCGATGAAAAAAGATCTTGATTCTCTCAATGAGTGCTCGAATAAGTCTTATTATCACCGTGGATTTTGACTTTAAGTAGTTCGCGAAAAAAAACTGAACCTTGCAGGAATGTACGATATGACGTTTTACCTCTCGCATGCAGCCAACGTCCATCCCTTAGCATGCAGTCAGCCAATTATGACAAAGTCGATTATTACGTCAAAGCTTTTTATGTGATAATGGTAATTAATTATTATGACGCAATTTAATTATGCTTCCACAGGACTAACTTCGCAATTTTTTCACGGAAATGACATCAGAAAGGCATGCCAACAGAATGTCGTGATATACGCACGAAAATTCGCACAGCAGTACTTTCTGAAACACGTTACCCGTGACTGTACAAATGATGATAAAGTTTTCAAAAAGTGAGAACATGAATCGGTCAATTGAGACAAAGATCATGAACAATTACATTTCATTATCACAATTAATAATATACTGCATGGAAAAAATTTCGCCATTTCCGGACGGCGTTCGTGAAAAACGTCGCTTGTTCGTGTTTGTATCATGTTGTATAAATAACTACCTGAAAAAGATATCTATCGTTTCCAGGCAGTTACAACAAAACGAAGACGGCTATTAACAGCTTATTATTGAATACTGGCTACACGAAACCCCATGCACGTGAATTGAAATTGTTGGTTTCAGTTAGTCCAAAAACCATGCCAGGATATATTTATATCTTACAGACGCATATATGTATTGTTTGTTAATAGGTCTCCCGAAAAGGTTGCGTGGCATCATTATTTTCCCAATGTATATTATTTCACCAAGGTTGGCAAGAAAAGATGCGGGGTGACGGTTGCCAACCCGACGTCACAAGATAAAGCTCTCTGATTGGCTGGCTGAACGCTGGCAGAAATCTTGGTCAATCAGAGTTTTATTTTGTGACGTCGGACCAGCAGCTGTGATCCCGCATAATTTTGAAAAAAAATGACTACATTGAGTAAAAAGTTTGATGAATTTTCGCAAAATGCAATGTAGGAGTGTTCAAGTTATGTCTGATCATGAGTTTATAATGTTTTTTAATAACTTTCGATGGATGTGTATATATATGCGAGTTTTTCGTGATTTAGTGTTTGTATACAGTTTTTTAAAAATAAAAGACCTTTTCGGGAGACCTATGATTTGCTTACAGATTTTGGGTTAGTGAAATTATTTTATACATTTATTTTCTTTTTCTGTCACAGTACTGGAAAAAGACCGGCTGAGCGTAGTTACATACGACACTGGTGTCACAGTTGATTTTCATCTTCTGGCAATGAACAAAGACAACAAGAAATTTGCAGAAAGCAAAATCGAGTTAATTCAACCTGGATCAAGTACCAATCTCTGCGGTGGTTTACTACAAGGTCTTTGCACAATCCTTGACAGAGGAGAAACCAAAACTGATGTGGCGTCCGTGTTGCTGTTTACTGATGGCCTTGCTAATCACGGTAATTAAAGACCAGTTACAATCGAAGATGAATAAGGCTAATCCTCTATAAAGTGCCCAAAGGCTTTTATTTGGCATTATTTTAGAGGGACTATTAGATATATACTTAGCAGTTAACAATTAACAAGAAACATATATTTCGAGGAATGGAAGCAGTGCACATATATTTTTTTGTTGTGAAGAGGAGTAGAAGAGGAAGAGGAGTAGAAGAGAGGGACTCTATATCTTAATATTAAATGTAGTATTACAATAACAGTACGTGATATTTGAAAATTTTGCCAAACATGTAGGCCTACGAGCCGCATGACAATTAATACTAGTAACTGGTATCTGGTCCTTCATCGCACAAATAATATCACCTGTTTACTTGTTTAACATTTCATAATTGCATTTTTGATCACTCAACAGTGGATTTAAAAAGTTGTTTTTACGCTACGAAACAAAAATTATATCTATTGGAAAATTGACAGAGAGCTAACGTTAATAGCCAAAAATTATTGATATTTTTTATCTCCGTTGTATCATCATTTTGAATAGTATAGTATTATTAGTTTCCACTCAATGGAGTTTACAACAAATTACTCTTATTTTGTTTTTATTATTTCTTTACCATGAAGGAATCACACGCAAAGAAGAAATTATTAAAGCCATGAAAAATCCAAAGAAATATTTAAAGGAATCTTACTTTGAGATGACACATTTTGATATGATGATGCAATATCAGAACAATTCCACTCCAGCAGTCTCATACGGCAATATATCATCTGGAGCACCTCCGAATAGATACCAGCCTGGAGCATCTCAAGGGTCTTTTCTCTCTCGGAGCTTACGAAGAGTTGTTAATTATTTCACACAATCAACAACAGAACAAGCTCCGGCACAAAACGTGTGTGAAGACGAAGAAGATGAACAAGGAAATGCAATAATTTTACAGCAAAACATCGCACCTGAAGCTGCACAAAACATACAAGTTCAACAGGCCTTGCAAGAACCCACACATAATGTCCAACAGCTTGCAGAAACTGCAGTACAGCCAGATCCCGAACACGCTTTACAGCCAGATCCCAAACAGGCTATACAGCCAGATCCCGAACAGGCTTTACAGCCAGATCCCGAACAGGCTTTACAGCTAGATCCCGAACAGGCTTTACAGCCAGATCCCGAACAGGCTTTACAACCAGATCCTGAACAGGCTTTACAGCCACATCCCGAACAGGCTTTACAACAGTCACCAGAAATATTAGAACAACCCGCACAAGACACACAACAGGTAGTGCAGGCGGAAGAAGCCTTGCAACAAGCTACTCAGGTTACAGAAGCAGCGCCGCCAGAAACGAACGAGGCAGTGAATGAGGAGAAGAAGGTAGTGTATTGTAGATCAGAGAATTTCGAGATCCATACCTTATATTTTAAATATATATATATTTTATATATTTTAAATATATATATATATATATATATATATATATATATATATATATATATATATATATATATATATATATATATATATATATATATATATACGCTAATTCCTTAAACTCTAAAACCTTAAACTTTAAACTCTAAGCGCGCAAAGCATAATGGGAGCACAATTTAAGCAGTTTAGAAAGCATATATGGAGTCCATTTCTTGGAGACATAATAAAAATCTCCCTGCAAAAACATTTCACTGACAAACAGCTGCAATAATCAACTACTAAGCTTGAAATCAGTGCTCCCATCATGCTTTGCGCGCTTAGGGTTTAAGGTTTAAGGTTTTAAAGTTTAAGGTTTGCGAAGGACAACCTTTATTGAATTAGCTGTATATATATATATATATATATATATATATATATATATATATATATATATATATATATATATATATATATATATATATATATATATATATATTTATAATATAGTCATCCATCGTATATGAGCTGTTCTGCAATCTGATTGGTTGAATTACTCGCCGTATATCAGCTCATATACGGCGAGTAGCGAAAAACAAGATGGCGGTCCAAAAACTACATGAGTTTTGCGAAGCAGAAAAAGGAAAATATTCGCTTTGAGAAACATAATAGTACAGGGAAAAACTCTCAAAAAAAATTGACAGGTTAGCAAAATACATTTATTACGTAGAAATTAGTTTAAATAAAGTTTTTTAAAGAATTAATACCGAAACAACAGCGAAAAAACATGTTCATTGAGAATATAAATTGTTCAGAAAAGTTTGCCGATGAACGACAAATGAATTTGCAGTCAACAAGCACTTACTATAGTACCAAACATCTGCATAATATATCTGAGCTTTCCTGTTAGATATAGAGGATCTAAAACCATTTCTTTCACTTCGTCTTCGAGTTGTAATACAAAAGTATTTCACATTTTCAAGCGGTTTTTGGCCGAACAAATTGTCAACACATTGTAACAGTGAATAATTAATTACTGCTTCAGTTAATGGCTATATTAGACTATATTATAAAACAATTATACCATTCGCTCTCGTCGTATATGGCTGATAGCCGACTCGGTGCTACGCACCTCGTCGGCTATCAGCTCATATACGACTCGAGCTCATGGCATAATTGTTAATTATATATATATATATATATATATATATATATATATATATATATATATATATATATATATATATATATATATATATATATATATATATATATATATATATATATATATATATATATATATATATATATATAATGAAACAGGGGCGATTAAATTCCATTTTACACTATATCAGTTGTGTTGACCTGTATGCATAATTTGATCAAGCTTACTTTTTATTTAGGCCACATGAAGTTTTTCACTTAAATTAATTCACTATTTTTTACGAGAACATCTTGTATACGTGGCATTTTGCTACATAACTTTCATACCATTTGTATCATATAGCTTGTCTATGTATATATGTATATATAGAGAGAGAGTTCATGTCGATACTGAATTATAAAATTGTATTTTATCTTTCAATTAGCCCTATTCACATTAGAGACGGACAAGTCATCTAGACGAACAAATCGTCTCTCAAAAATCGTCTTCACAGACGGACAAGTAGTCGAACAAATTCAGACGACTTGTTCGTCTAAAATTTTGTCCGACACGTTTTCACATCTGATGATTTGTCCGACTAAAAGACGATTTTGAGACGATTTGTTCGTCTAGACGACTTGTTCGTCTTCTAATGTGAAAACGGCTAATGCATGCAATGCTCACTTCCCTCGTGGTTGTTTGAGCACTCTGGCCCCATTACACTCTGCGCATGTCTGGATGCGTTGATGTCATCGTGTTGTACTACATGCCTTGGTGAGAGCAAGTTCATGTAATATAAATACGAATGTCTCACGTATCTAGACGTGTACGAAGCTGCACTGACGAGGCGTAGAACGCCGAAACATGCAAGCTCAGTTGGTTTATTGGTTAGAGCGCTCACAGGGCCGCAGGTTCGATAGAGGGCTTACAGTTGCATTTTTCGCAGCTAATTTTCCTGTTTAGGTCTAAAATTGTATATATAATGTAATTTTCCGATCGAAATTTTCATCAACAAAAACCCTCAACTATATGCAGTAGATCAGAACTATATTGTGTTGAAGATCTTGAAATGCGCACAAATTTCTTTAGGACGGAAATTGTAGGTACATGCAGACTACGTAATTTTATTGCTTGTTTTGCTCCATCTTAAGTATAGTAGAATAATTAAACATGAAAGCCGTAATAGTATGATTTCGAGTGCAATGGGCCAGAAAAAAATATGAACGAGCGAGCTTTTCAAAGGCGATCAAAATTGCACGAGTCTAATTTGCTCATTCATTTGACCGAATCAGCATCTGAATTACCTTTTTGGCATGCACTCTATTTCAATACAATCGCGCTATATATGATCTTAGCAATATAATTTTTATAATTGTGATACAGGACAAGAAGAATATTGAAGCTTCTGTGTACACGTTTGGTTTTGGAAGCGATCATGATCCTGACCTGTTGAAAGCCATTAGTGATGCAGCAAATGGAATGTATTATTTTATTGAAAACGAGGAACAGGTTCGTCCAACCATTAAATAGGCAAGCACTTCATAACAGAACTGTCCTACCTCTTTTCCCCACCTCCAATACACTCTTCCAGAAAGTATACGTCACTTTGGGAAGAGTTTATTTCGCTTGCCTCAGAGTGACAAATCTCAGGGGCGTAGGAAGGCAGGAAGAATCCAAAAATGGGGGGGACCGGCTTCCAGGGGCACTTTTGGATATTGAAAAGGGTACCTAAAAATTTTTTCCCGGACAATTTTCCCGTCATACCATACCGAAATTGCATGTTTTTGACCAAATGTTTTTTTAAAACATCGAAATTTCCAAACAAAAAGGGCACCTTTGATTGTTAATTTAGTATTTACAGCAACATTAGCTTGTACAAAAAGGGCACTTTTCATCACAAAAAAGGGCAGTTTGGTCCTTTGAAAAATTTCGGGGGGACGTGCCCCCCCCCCCCCGTTCCTACGCCCCTGAAACCAACCTTGAAGAAAAAAAGTTTTGACGAAATGTCATTCTGAGGTCAACCAACTAACCTTTTCCGTCACTTTGGCCATAGAGTCTCGTTTTCGTGTATGTGAGATTAGTTCAAGCAATTACGAGAACGAGGCTCATAGTCTAGGTAACGTACTTTTCGGAAGCGTGCATTGTCCTAGCAATAAAAATAGGTGCCCATGAGTACACATTTGCATCGTTATATTATTATTGGATTATTATCGTTGGGTTATGGAGAATTTTGGAAGTTTTTTATACGTCAGAATTTTAAAAAATACGCTACAAAACCTTGATGAAATTGATGCATCTATTTTACTTCTATGTGGACAAGAAATGCAAATCCTATAATTGAATCATTCGACTAAATTTGGTTTGATAATATTTTTTTCTTTGTGACGCCGTGTTCAAACAAGAGAAAATCCAACTGATCTGTTTTGGCAAGAATATATTGCAGTCTGCGTGTATGCATTTGCTGTATACAACTGACGTATTATGTATTATGTTATTAATTGGTCACTAACGGATTTTGCCTCAAATTCTAAATATTCATTGAAATACTGTAAATCTAATTTTCTTGTTGGCAAAATCAAGGTTTTTGCATTCATTACTTTTTCATCACATAAATTTCACTATGTTTAGATTTCAGAATCGTTTGGTCATTGTTTCGGTGGGCTGGTGAGCACACTAGGTCAAAATATAGAATTGACATTGGAACTGTGCGATGGTGTTAGCATAGACACAATACATACTGATCGGAATAACACAAGTGATGACACAAAGAAGTACGTGTTTACCTATATATATATATATTTTTATTCAATGTACTGCATGCATTTTGGTAAACGGGGACTGCGTTATTAGCGCGGATGACTAAATTAGTCATGTGGAAACATGTGACTCATGTAGGCCTAAATAGAATTCACGATCAGAAATTGCCGCCACAAATTGACACCAAAGATGAGGTGGCTCGTCTTAACTGAGCATGCATGTAGTGTACATGCTGACGTGACTGAATATTAATGAGGCGAACTGCAGAAATATTTCACGAAATAGTCGGCAAAGTTTTTTATTTATTGGTAGAATTTTGAGGTAAAGAGAAAGACCCAAGACCCCCCAAGACCCAAAATTAATTTTAGATGACTCAAGAATACTTAAAAAAACTTTTTTAGATGACTCAAGAATATTTAAAAACACTTTTTTAGATGACTCAAGAATATTTAAAAACACTTTTTTAGATGACTCAAGAATATTTAAAAACACTTTTAACGTACAATTTGAGCTTTATATTGGCTTGTTGCAAATAAGTCAAAGTAAACCGAAAATTCTTATTGAGCCCACGATGCTACACAATGAACACTCAACTGTGTTTTACTTTCAGTACTTAGAGGGTCTCCCCCAGATGCAGACCAAAAACTTAACCTTGCACTTATGGTCCATGATCATAATTTGGTCGTATGATGACAATCAGAGACGCCCAAGCATAGTAAGTCTTCGACTCGGGCCGAGCTGTGTACTTCCCAATAGACCTTTCCTGAAAGTATACTTAACCTTGGATATAGAGTCTTGTTTTCGGAATTGAGATATATCGGTTTTAGAGACCTTTATCTTGTTACTGATGGCCTAATTATATAAACTATTTTATATTATCCAGGATAACTGTATGATTTCGTAAATGTGTCCATCTGTATCAAGATAGTCATTGTAATTGTGGGAGTCATTGTAATTATGAATTGAAACACATTATTTAAATTTATTTACCCCCAGGAAACTGCGAAGAACGAATTCACACACTCATTCATGATTTTTGTAGAAAATGGAAGGTGCAATTTAATGATATGCAATCTGAAGAAGAACGTGATGTTCTATTGACGATAAAGTTGCCTCGTACTGACTCTTCGACCACAACTATTCTTAAATCTTCCATCAAATATTTCTGTGTTATTCACTCCAGTTATAAATATTCTGAAGCGGAGATGTCAGTTAACAGATCCGGTATGTTTGGCTGATCGTTTAATTGCATGCCTGAATAGGTTGCGATATATTACGAATCGTAATGATGCCATTGTGGTTGATTTTTCTAGGCACACATGTAAACAGCTAAGCATACGGCATGTACAGCATTCATAAAATAAACCATGAATGGAATGTGATGCTGGGTCTGCCTCGTACCCAGGCGCTATGTGTTATTCTATGGCTTGTGTGGCCTTTGCCAGTGGCCCGTGCCGGCTAATTTGATCGATTTCGTGTCGAGGCTGACCACAATTTAACTATAACTTAAAATGGATTACAATATCAGCCTCGAATTCAAGCTATTTTCCGTGTGCAGTAGATCTATTTATTTATATTTAATGTTGACATTTGTTTTATTATAACAATATAGCTGATGCGAAATATTCTCCCGAAGTTGCGAACTTGGCTATTGACCGCCAACGAAACAGAATTGTAACGAGCAAAGCAACAAAAGAAGCACTTGAATTGGCGGACAATGGTAAAAATTTACTTTTCTTTTGTTGATTTCATTTGCTTGCGTGTCTGTGTCCGCCTGTCTTACTCAGGCCTTGTACGGAAGGAAAGGCGCTCGATCGAACGCGTTTTTCACGATGGATATTTTATGGATGGACTGCTTTTGAACTGGATAAATCTATTTTATGGATTGACTGCTTTTGAATTGGATAATAAAAGTTACTGTTATTAAAGGCATTTCTCAAATGCCTTACGCGCTCGACAAATAGCGTTACGGTGATCCAGGTGTTACTCGTCTCTTACTAACTATATACTCTATATTCTTTGTTGATGTTATGTACTCAGGTGAATATGATGTTTCTCTGAGTGATGTTTGTGATGTTATTCAACGTAACTTTTGAGGGTACTAATTCCGCTCGGCTATTTACACCTGGGGAAAGGAAAGCATTAGCGAAGTCTAAAGTTCATCAATAATCGCGGGCGGATGGCTATGGTTCACCGTGCGTGGGCAGTGAACTCTATATATATATATCTGGAATGATAACAGCGAGCGAAAAGTGAAGCCGACAAAAAAATCACGACATAAGTATTCGTCATTGTCTTCGTCATCAACTGTTCAAGAACTTTCTTACAGTATTAAAAATTACTTACAAATAAAATTTGTAATTGTTTTGAAAGTTTTTATCACAGTTTTTATATCTTTATTCACTTTTAACCTGAAGGTGGAGTTATACTCCGAAACGTAGTTATTAAAATAATTTTTTACTAAGCCCATATGGTCTAATTTATATTCAAACACACGTACATATTCATTTACATTTTGCTGGCAGGCAAATTCCGATCACACAATAAATTCTTTAAAAAATAACGTACCAGTGTATTGACTAAAAACTATAAAACTGGTAAACTAAAAAACAATTCAAACAATCGCGAAAAATGGCAACGGCAAAGTCACAGTTGCAAGTCAATTTACCTTAGTACCTGTGAAATGAAATTTTCTGGCAAGAATATCTCTTTCCTTGTGCATCCAGAACGACAGTACGACACAATATATTTGAAAAAGTGATTCTTTTCTCCACACGGGGAAGTTTTCCTCGACTTTTTTTCCGACAGCGAACTCAATGCAGTAAATTTTAGGAGCAAAACAGTTTGCTCCTAAAATGTATTGCATTGAGTTGCCCATGTTTTTAATTTTTTTTCGTGATTGCGTTCAAATTTATACTGGCCGTGCAACGGTTTGTAAGAGGGGGAATGAAACTGACGTCCAATCCGCGTAAACCTGACGTTTGAGGGACTGAGACTGACGTCCAATCCGCGTGAAAGACTGGTATCGAGGCTTCATTGTTTTCACAATCAAATGACTGAATGTTATCGTTCCAGATATATATATATAGAGAGTTCACTGTGCGTGGGTAGTCATCCTCACTGATCTCAAAACATAGCGGACTGTCATGAATAGCGAATACTGATTGGTCAAATTTAAAATTTGCATTATAATGACTTCATGACGACAGCAAAATAACAAACATTTCTTGCAAATCAGTGTTCACCATTTCCATGACAGTCCGCCATTTTTTTGAGATCAGTGGGAGATCCACCCTTGGATCATAACCAGACGCCCGCGATGTTTGATGAACTTCACATTTCGCTAATGCTTCCCTTTCCCCGGGTGTAAATAACCGAGCGGAATTAGTACCCTCGCCTCCCAGCCTTTGGAACATTCTTCCTGCCCACATACGTGATACCTCAAGAACTTTAGTTCACTTCAAATCCTCATTATTTAACTACTACTTCGACCTTCTAGAACATATTTACAACCCGGACAACCCAAGAACACTCAAGTCAGTGTGCGCCAAATGCCACTCCACTCGTCCTCTCGCTAGTTTATCAGTAAGAACATGTTGTTGACAGTTAGCCAAAGCCAATAGTTCGTAAATGTATTGTTAGTATTTGTTCAAGATCCCGTTATCTCTGTGATCAGTCCCTGCCTGTAACGTAAAATATGTAATATTGTGTAATGGTTTTATTGGTTTAGTGGTATTTATGTTTGTGTGTGTGGCAAATCTTGTAAAATAAATAACTTGCTTCTAGCTATGCTGCCAGTGTTGCTTCGATGAAACTATAGTATCAATAATAGTTCCCTTTTGTTTACTGTATTGAATATTTTATAGGTTTGGTTTAATTTGGTTGTTTTCTGCTTCTTTAGGTGATTTAGAGTTGGCTCGCAAACGACTTAAAGAAGAAATAAATAGAGTCAAAGAATCCTTGACAAAAGATGACGAACTTTGTAAGGTATGAAACCATGGTCATGGATTATGCAATTACTTTATGGTTTCCGTGTTTGGATGGCCTGATCCAAACACGCGTGAATGTTGCGAGAGTTAAGAAAAGCTCGCGCTTTGCGCGCTTTTCTTAACTCGAGCAACATTCCCAGGTGTTTGGATTTATTTAGATCAATTTCCATGTCCAAGCGGTAGAGTGCGAACGGGACTCAAAGTCCCATGCGAGGCACTCCCCCGTTACAAACTGTAAAGATTTCTTAAATATTTACATTAATAATAGCTATGAAAAAACATAGCCAATTACTTGAGCACCAACTAATTCTTAAAACCGCACGCAGCTTACAGTAATGGTGCTTGAAAAAAGGTACTGTACGTTAACACACAAACGATCAGTCGGCCGATTTCAGGTATTGCCGAATATTAAAATGACAAACGTTATATCAGTTGACAACACAGAGTATAGACAGATATACAAAACTACAACTAGAGCACCCACCTTTTTGTGCGCGTTCTCGGCAAGTTACTAGATGCATACATACATACATACATACATACATCGCCTTTATTTAAAACACGGTAAACCTTCAGTAATATTACATAATAAATATAGTCTAAATTATTCTAAACTTAAAAATATTTGGATTCACATAGTATATATATATATAAAAATATAACAAATATGAAACTACTGTTCTACCAGGTTGCCGTGTGGGAGTCGGACAAGAGTTAAATAGCATTATTAGTTTTTAAAGATTGCAAGAAAGCATGCATCCCATTGGCGGTTTTCTTTAACTGCTCGCGGAACTTGCCGAGCACGCGCAAGGGTCAGGCTATCCAAACACGGAAACCATAAAGTAATTGTTTTATAAAATAACAACTTTCCGTGTTAAAATTTCACTTTAAAAAACTTTCACTTTAAATTTCCGTGATTGGATGGCCTGATCCAAACACGGGTTTCGACCAATCAGAGCACGCGTTATATACATGTTATTTTATAATGTATAATGAAAATGGCTTTTTCTAAAGCCGGGCGCATACGCTGTGATTATTAACAGAACTGTCAACTTTAAAACTTAACTGTTAGTTATTTATTGAACGTTCTCTGACTTAATATTTATTTCTACGAGCTTTCGGCTATCAGTCTATATATAGCCTTCGACGGGTGTATACAAATGATTCTATAAAGGCTATAATATAGACTGATAGCCGAAAGCTCGTAGAAATAAATATTAAATCAGAGAACGTTCAATAAATAATGTTTCAACCTGGCTATATGCATCCTCTATTTTTTCAATTATCTGTTAGTGTTAACAAAATTTGATTTGTGATTTCAAAAGTGTTAAAAGGTCCATTTACACGCGTATGTACTGGAACAAATCCGTGTAAAGGATGTCCTATTCAACTTTTGCCATGGACAGGAATAATTCAACAGTCGTTTTCATACGCCAGAATGACAATCGTATACGACTAGTCGTCTCGTGTAAATGGGCCTAAAATCATCAAACAAGAGACGTGGGATACTTTTGTTTGCAAGTATCTCTATAATTCGTGGTTTGGTAGTATATAAATTTACTTTGTTATATGTTCTAGCTTCTCGTCATAGACATGGAAAAATGTCTGGAGGGCCTACGGGACTATCGTTTGTACAGTACGTCGGGAAAGAAATATCAAATGAATCTGTAAGTTCCACGTTACCTTCATATTTTATGTCAGTTGAATTAAATTTCTGTATATTGTAAAGCGTCAACCTTTTCCAACAAATACAATTTTCATTTTATAGACTCCAGATGCATTCAACTCAACGAAGCAGTCGGCCTGATGGAAGTAGTTGTTATGAAAATGTATCCAAAATGTCTCACGTGGATAAATTTAAATGATCACAGATACTTCCAAGGAGCAGCATATTATCAGTTCATTAGACAATATATTTTTAACATTTTGTATTCTTATAAAAATATATCTTTCACATGTTTGTTGTTGAAATGTAACCTTTGGCATGCTTCTACTGCTACTTCTAGTTAATTTCTCTTTTAATAAAAATAAACACATTTCCTAATTTTTTGTATAAAGTTTCAACGAGTGTGCTATTTTGATAAGGAGGCTCCAAGGAGGTGAGAGATTGCAGTATTATCAGTGATTCGTCCACACTTCCACAGCCGCGTTTCTTGCGCTTTTATGTCGGTAGTAAAAACAGACTGCAACTGATTAAGTGACCTGCCTGAAACAAAGGTGATACGTGGAAAGACGATTATTATTAAACCTTTTTTAACCCAGAAAAAACAATTGCAAACAGTGAAATAAAGAGCAAAGGTCAAACGTGGATGAAAGTTGATGAGAGTTGCAACTCCCGTTCGTGTTTGATTGCCAGCTCTCATCTAACTGATTCAAATTTTGATGAGAGTTTTCGCTGCGGTAATATCCAGTGACTCTCACCCAGTTTTATGCAACTCTTGTTCTCTTTTGACCGGGGCATGAGAGTTTAGTAAACTCTCATGCAAACTCTCATCAGCTCTTATCCTTGTTTAATCAGGGCTTTAGTTGAAGAAAAGTTACCTCGAACGGTTTCAACTGAGAGTAAAAAGTTGGAAATATATAGCGGGCTAAGCACATATGCATTACTATTTATTTTAAAAAGCTTATTGCTTAGCAGGTCCTGATTTAGAGCGGCTCAAGCCTCCTCCGCAGGCATCTCTTAATCGTCGAGAACTTATACCGTATGCTTGGATTTCTACGTCGCAATTGTGTCCATCTAACAGATGTAAATTCCCGACGCACATTATATATATCGCTTGTTCGAGCTCAGTTATGTTATGGTAGTCAACTCTGCACACCACAATCAACGTCGAAAGACCTACTGCGTATTGAGGGAATACAACGACGCGCGACTAAATTTATTCTGCAAGACTACAGGTTAACAACGTGGAACGCCTGAAAAGACTAAACCGGTTATCCCAATATCGTACTGGTTTGAAATAAAGGACATAACGTTTTTCTTTAAATGCAAAGTAGGATATTTTGACTTCAAGCTCGAGGACTATGATTCAACCACGTCATCACTCCCCCCTCCCGTCGACAACTTTTTAGGTAAAAAAATTTTCCGGACGAGTACGTTGCAATTGCTTTCCAGGGACTTTATCTCAATTTTTCATGCCAAATTTCGGTACTTAGCCCAAAAAACAGATATCTTGTCCTTTGCGCGGAAATATTTAACACACAAAAAAGACTGGGGGCCAAATAAAAAATTTTAATGGCCCCCAGGGGCCCGGGGCAATTCCCCCCCTCTCTGCGGACCTGGAAACAGCCTACCATCAATTATTAAATCATCCCTATTCCCTAACCTTCTCTTCGCTCAAAAGCAAACTATACCACAGAGCAAAGAGCCTGGGAACGAGGTTGACTATACCACCGGTACTATGAGAAATTGAGCTTAGATTTTGATGTCGATCGACCAAGAACTTGGAAATCTTTGTGTACAAAGTGTCGCTCCTTTGACATTACTTGTTGTTCGTAAACGCGTAAACTGTAAAAATTAGTATAAAATCTCTAAAAATTAAAAAAAAATCATTTATACTCTGTTAAGACCAAAACAAAAGATGGTTCTAGCCAGATAAAGTGTTAGTTAGGCCATATAAAATAAATTCCTTGATTCTCATCGCTAAATTTTAAAAACTCCCAGGAGGCGGGAGGTTTATATTTTATGTCAAAATATAAAAAAAAAGTTTAAAATTTAAAAAAATGGAGAGGGAGGTCTTTTTATATTTGCCCTTAAATATATTATAGAAGAATGCTATATAAGTGGATAATTGCACATGCGCTAATGTCAATGAACATGCATAAGGGTCCACAGAAATCGTTGTAATAAGGCTATAAGCCCATTTTTTCCTTCAGTATTCCAAGCTTCATTGTTGCAATATTAACGATAAAACAATTTTATATCGCAAAAATTCCAATATAAAATATAAAAATAACTAAATCTCTGAATATGCTCGGTCGGGCGGTAAATTTATATTTTATAACAAAATACAAAAATATATCAACACGGAAACCAAAATATCGTCGGGCGGTGATGAGAATCAAGGAATTTATTTTATATGGCCTTAGATTAATAAACATGCAAATGTTATGCATGCTAGTAGAAATAGTTTTGGTGGGACTTAATTGGATCTTATTTAAAATCTGTTGTCCTTTTCCTTCTATCACTATTCTATCACTTGTTAATATATGTTATTGATTGTAAAGTTAATAAAAAAAAATTTCAAGAGATGCCTGCGCGCGCGGACACAGAGGAAGTGGCGCGGAGGAGGCTAGAGCGGCTCTCTATGATTGGTCAAATAATTTGGAGAGTGGGAACGAGGCTGATAAAATCCAATATGGCCGATGCAAAGAGTGAAATTCATAATACTTGGGGAGAAAGAAAGTTCTGTGATATTCCTGATACATATATAAGTTCAGCTATAAAAAGTAAAGAAAGTAACGAAGACTGTGGAAAACTCTGTGAATACATAGAAAGACATTGTTTAGGCAGAGACTTTGAATTTACAGGACCGTTTGGAAAACGTAAAGGTTTGTTTTTAATATATACACCTATCAATGTTTAATAAGCCCCCAGGGGAGAGGCCGGGGATATAGGTGGGGATTAGACATTTTGAAGAAAACTTTGAGCTAATGCCCCAATATGAGTCAACAAAATGTCAAAATACAGGCAAATATTGAAATATTCCCCACCACGGGGACAGCGAATCGTCAAATCCCCACAGTATAAAATAGAACATAAGGCAAAATAAAAAAAAAACGGTCCAAATTCTGACGAACAAACAAGAATATATATTTCGATCGGAGTTAAAAGTCATTATGAATACGTACAAAATAGCGTGTTTTTGACACACTTTGTGTCCTGTAAAAGGAAAATGTGCATGTCCTTGTTATTGAGTTGTAAATGGAATGGTGTATACACTCGAAAATGCCATTTCCGACAATGTAGAGACTCCAAATTTCAAAAATTTTCCGCTCAGCGCCAACCATGGTGGCGCCTTGTGGAAATCGGAACAAATTGAAAGTTCTCTTGCGCCCATGTTTACATGCTATATGGTTTTGTTTAATCATAACAACCTGATGATCGCAAAACTCTACTGTAGATAGAAATTCGAAACTTTAATGGACATTTTTCATTTGCGCCCATGAATCAGCGTTAGTAAACACCAAATTTTCAAGCTGTAACTCACACCCTGAATGTCCAAACATCATCAAATTTTAATTTCAGCATGCATGCAGATCAATTCTGAGGGCCGCCATTTTTTTCAAAGATATGTAGAAAGTGAGGTGAACAATAATGACATCAACTCAGATCGATCAGAGAATAGAACTAACAGTTGGAAGGTTTTTTTGTAAAGATGGAAATTTCAAGTGAATGCTACATACATTTTTAGATCTAACCTGGCCAGGCCGGAGTAAAGCAAAACTATTTATTTGCTATACTATTGGAATAGTAGATTTTGAAATTTCTGTTCTATCTAGAGATCCACTATTCCTTTATGTTTCTTTATGTTCACAGTTGTATGCAGGCTAATGTCTCTGACATTTGTGTCATAAGCCTTAAGACCCTTGAACTGAAGATGAACGAATAGGCCCAGCAAACACTAATTTTGTTGTTTTTAGGGCTTTATTTATATGGCAATAATCTATCAAATGCAGCTTCACCTATAATTACACAATCAAACAACATGTACACACAACCATTTCTGTCCAACCCAAAAATGCACAAACTTCATGCCCCTATAGCTGTCTATGTCTCAACATGAAAGTAAAACAAAAAACATGCACCCTTGACCGCTAATTAACCTAGGAAAGTTTAATTTTACAATCATATATATTCATTTTAAAATGGCTTGAATTTTACGAGCATACACCTAGACAAAACATATGTATGCAGCAGCCAGCAAATACGCCGAGCCTCCCACGTTTCAAGGTTGGACAAAAAGGTGACAACAAAAAAAGGCAGTGACAACAACAAATTTCCAACTTTGCACATTGATCTGTTATGCATAATACTGCAGCCAGGTACCAAGCAAACAAAAATCCACTTTGAAACAAAAATGTTTCAATGGTTTAAAATATCTTCAATAAGTTCTGATACTGTAAGTCACATGAGTAGATGTGAAGCTACTAATACATACATGTCAAGGAATCTGCTGTTTTACAGTACTTCATCTAATGAAATATCACAAAATTCAATACTATATTTTTGCATATTATTAATTAAAATTAAAAACGTATCCCTCTAGGTTCAGGCAAATTTAATCCAGCTACATTTTTTCCAATGGGACATGATCGTTTATTTATTTTAATAAAAACATCTTGAAGTCTGTTCAAAAATTGATCTTGGTCCACACAGTTACTATAGGTAGATTACTCAAGTTGATTGCCAGATCAGAGCAGAAACAATCTCTGTAATATAAAATTTACACCTACTAGTTATAAAAAATGGTCTTGTCAGGAGACCATTATGTTGCTATTCACCGGCATGCAGTCCTGTAGAAATGACTGCGCATTTGGAGCACTGCACCAAAATCTCAGGGGCCGGTTGTATAAAACTCTTAATCACTTTTTTAATCACTCTATTTAACTACAAAATAGTGATTAACTCTCAAATAGGCGCTTCTTATTGGATGACGTTCCACTTAACTATAGTTAACTATAATCACTTTTTTATACAACTGGCCCCAGGGCTGTAGGTTTGATTTCTGCCAGATTCCTGCATTTTATGCAGTTGCTCCTGGATGGGTTTAAATGCATGCATATATACTAGAAATTTATGTTTGAAACTTCCATCTACAAAAACCCATTTACTGTTGATTCCATCAAATGATGCTGTGGCCGGTATCTATTTTCCACTTATGAAATAACACCTTCTAAAGTAAATATAATTTTATTTTGGTCTAGTTGTCTACTGTGATTATGTGGCTTCTGGCAAGTAAGTAACGTTGGAAACAATTAGTTAAGAGCATGGAGTTTACACTAGAAGTGATTTGTTCTACTGTTTGATATTTTGTATTATTGTTCTTGTCTTTACAATAAAATATAGCAAGACCAGTGGCGGAAATCTCGGTGGGGTGGGGGGTGACCCCCCCCCTTTACGGAAAATTGACGAATTTTCAGAAATTTTGACCTAAAAGAGGGCTAAAAACAGCCTTTTCGAGTGCAAATGGGGGGGTTGTTGGAAATTGTAAGGTTTTGTCGAAAATTTAGGAGGATCCCTCCCCCCAGAAAAAGTGAATTTCCGCCATTGAGCAAGACAATATTAATAACACCAGAAAGCTGCAGATTGAAAGAGATTCCACTACCTGAAAAATACAAGTTAAAACTTCGGTATTTTCCCGATCCATGCCAATCCATGATCCATGCCAATCCATGAACTAACTTTCCCGATCCATGCCAATCTACATCTACATTTTATTAAGTTGGTAAAAATCGGACGATTATTGCACCAACTATAACAATACAAAATACAAATTCAAAAAACCTAACTACAACTATCTCAACCAATCAATAATAAAATATTACTTAATAAAATTCTTGAGTTCACTCTTGAAAGTATCTAGAGTTTCTGATAAAACTAATTCCTTAGGAAGACTGTTCCACTCAGTTAGCGTTCTAGGATAGAAAGAATATTTAAAAATGTCCTTCGTAGCTCGAGGTACTCTATATTTAAACGTATGACCAATCCATGAACTAACTTCGATGAAGGGCCTTCGCTCAAAACATTGAAATTTTACTTGTATTTTTTAGGTAGTTGAATCCCTTTCGATTTGCAGCTTTCTGCTATAAATAACAATAACTGCAGTGGGAATTGCAAAGTTGACTTGAGAGCTAGACAAATGAATAAGGGGAGTAAGAGGGATAAGGGTAGTTAGGGGAGTAGCATCAAGTATAGGAACTACATTGCTACAGATATTTTGAAATAAGCTTTTGACATTTTGCTTCACTACCATAACTAGAGGGCACTCAGAGACTGCATACCTCCGCCCATACAGCCTACAGGGTGTATAAACGCGAGTGCATAAAGCAAAATTTATGCATTTATTAAATGACACTTAATAAGTTTTTATTTTACAAGTACAGTACAACAACAGCAATATGATCTATTAGCAATTCGATTTCAATTCCCAGGGACCTACAACCATAGATATAGGAGATCTAGATTGCTAACGCATACCTAGCGCAGGGCGGGGCCTACATGATAAATCCAAGATGGCGGTACAACAGGACAAAAAGACTATAGATTCTATTACGAAAATCAGGATTTTTGCATTTTTTGCCGTCGCATTGTTTTGAAACTTATTCGGTCAAACTTTATGGTAAAGAGAAACTTACCGCGAAGATTTTGAGCATATATATGATTGAATTGGATGAAAAATCGCAAAATTATCCAGCGATAAAAGTTTGTGTGAAATGGTCAGTTGGTCAGTTGGAGCGTTTTATTGCCAGAAATACTGTGCTATGTTAACATCTAGCCTTGTGAATGGTGTTTTATACTTGCATCTCTCATCATCATCTGCTCTGTCCTCATAATTATGAAAAATGAACTGTTATGTACCCCCCCCCTCCTTGCTTGTTAGAGAAGTAAACTGATGAGAGCACTGGATGAGGGTCTATCATCTATGGTCTGTTATAATTTGCTTTTTATGCAAATAGTGAGCAAAAATTAAAGCAAAACTGTACAAGTTACATATATTGTACTATATCAGTACTATACACAAACTTTTATCGATGGATAATTTTGCGAGTTTTCATCCAATTCAATCATATATATGCTCAAAATCTTCGCGGTAAGTTTCTCTTTACCATAAAATTTGACCGAATAAGTTTCGAAACAATGCGACGGCAAAAAATGCAAAAATCCTGATTTTCGTAATATAATTTATAGTCTTTTTGCCCTGTTGTACCGCCATCTTGGATTTATCATCTAGGTCCCGCCTGCGCTAGGTATGCGTTAGCAATCTAGATCTCCTATATCTATGCCTACAACCCAAAGGGGCGTTTAATCACGTATTTCCCTCATTTCCTATGCATACGCTTTTGTCTTCTAAATTTCCCTTCTAAATTTCCACGGAAAATTTAGTTGAAAACCAAAGATTTCTTTGTCTTCTAATTTTCCCCTGCACACTTGATGCAGACAAAAGCGTACCTCATTATCTCTGATTGGAGAGCTGTACCTCATCAAAAATCATTGGCACAACTATGGACAGTATCTGACGACATCGTCCCGTACGCATGCGAACAATCACTTTGCTAGTTTTTATTCCGCAATCTTGAACATTTCAATTGTGGGAGAAAGTTCGGTTTATGCGCATGCCTAGAAAGAATGAACACGCAGATTGTCTCTGCGCGTGCGTATTATATGAAAAGTGTGTACGAATGGCCTAAGCACTTTGCTGAACGCAACGATGCGTAACTCCGTAAGCCTACATTGAATTTCGGTCGCGTGAAGACAATAGATCATGAGGGCTGAAGCTTAATGAGGTTTATTATCTTATTATTATCCATTGACTATTGTCTTAATCGTATTCGTCGCCACCGAAATTAATTCGGCGTATAAAACGTACCTAAAATATTGCCAGCGTGTATATATAACTATTGACCTATTATTATTATTATTATTACGAAATTAGAATATATTTGTAAAGCACATGATTTTTGAGCAGCCTCCCTTATATAAGTGAGATTACGGCAATTGTATACAATCTAAAAAGATTATACCATTGTTTGTATACCTTTATATACCCTGTATACTGGTGCATAAATTATCACACGTCCTAATTACGCATTCAGTAAGTTTTTTTAATTGACCGGGAAAAGCAAGACAAATTTTGTTCATTTATCGTTCAATTTTTAACCAAACTCAACCAAATTTTAATCAACTCTTCCTTAGCCGATGGGAAATGCATTAAAAAAATTACGTATGAATATGTTTGGTATTTCTTGAGTTATCGTGCTCACAGACAAACACACATACACACACACGCACGCACACACACATATACACACATACACACACACAAACCCAGATGATTACATAACCTCCTGGCGGAGGTAATAACCTACTGCATGTACACAGTCACACAGTGGCGTTGCCTAATTGATATTCAAAATAAGAGTTGTGATGTATTAATTGCACATTATTTTGTCAAAAATGTCTATTTGTGTATAATTATGTATTAATTGTTGAGCATGAATCTCTACAAAAGTAGAACCGTGTTAATTGCCGTATTTCCTATATATAATGTCTTAATTACTTGTATTCATTGACTTTATCTCTTTGTGGTAAATGTTTTATTTCCCGTATTTCTCTTGCTCTCATTATTCCTTGACTGTATTTCTTTATATAGTTAATGTTTTATTCCCTTTTTCCCTGAATATATGTACAGATTTCTATGTTATAACCGGTATCCGGCCGGGATAATCCAGCAGGATATTTTTCAGCTATCCGGTATCTGGCCTGAAGAAAAAACGCAACTATTTTATTACCTTACTTTATAGATCTTTGAAGTTTCTTGAAGATTATATTACCAACAATGTTTTGAGATGTTATGGCAACACTCATACTACAACATCGGTTACCTCTTTGCAGACAACATTATATCGTCATGAAGCCAGGTAAATTTATAGGAATCCATATGATTGTATACCTCAATACTTCATGTACAAATCATGTAATGGTATTTCTAAATGTTCATGCAAATTGGTCAATGAAAAGTAAATATACATTTGTAAACGGATCAACCCATGACAGATAACAGTGACATAAACAATAGATTTTCAAAATTAATTTTATTGAAAAAATACTTACAGTATTAGAGTGAATTGAAAAAATACTTTGATTTACAATTTATTGATTACGTGTACAATATTAGTAGTAAATGTTACATGCGTGTACACAGAAAGAGGGCAAGCCATGGTATTAGATAAATATTATACAAGTTGGAATAATATTATTATTATTATTTTTTCAAATAAAGCTGACTCGACAGAACAGCTTAGATTTGATAGCGAGGACACTTTCCCTTCTTGGGTTTAACAGAGTAGTAGTTACAACATTGAGAATATCTTATGTCGTAATAGAAGTAACCACAGCATGCATGTTTAGCACGCTTGTTGTGTACTTTACCACAGCAGCAGATTTGCGTTGAAGGGTTGTAGATTTGGTTGCCACAGTCTGTAGATATGAAGTAGTGATAAGTTATTAAAATCAAAACAACTGTATACACAAGAACGCAACTACAATTTCAACTTTTTTCAAGTAAAACATTCTTATATGTTCTTAACTTCCAGTAACAATGTATTTTTATTGTAAAACAAAACCGAGTTATAGGAAAAGTCAGAAAAGTCTGAATCCAATTGAGGTCGATAACATGATGCACCATAATGAATTTATAAAACTTAAATATTCAATTTCGTACTTACAGAAGTAGGGACAGTAGGCGAATTCATAAGCACAGGCCCAGTTTCCACCAGTTTTACACGTACTAAAATAGACAAATATTTTGTTCAGTTCACTTCTAATATTAAAGAGTTATTGGATGAAGTTTTTGTGATACCAGGGATTATGAAGGATGAGGAAAGTGTTATCAGTCAAGCCGAAAGCGAGATTGATAACACTTACCTATCAATGTATAATAATACTGGTTGTTTTATGTAAGCTAATTCTTGTGTCAATTACCCATGCATAAACAAATTCCCATGACAAGAAAATCGCCTGGGGTTAGCCAGAGTGAAATAACATGGGCACATGCAGGTTAAAACATTTAATATTTTCCATGATCCTACCATTTCAAGCAGCTACATCGAACTGCAACTCCAGGTTTGAACCAAACTGCAATACCATAATGACAGACTAGACATATAGATAAAGCATAAGGTTATATTCAATCCCACTCGAGATAACTGATTTCATTACTGATACATTATTCTGCTGTTTCATTTGTCGAGAGCAATGATCACAGAGTATAGGCACTCGTAGATGACGTCATTTCAGTGACGTGATATCTTAAAGCACTCTCAGAAGGTGCATGATTGAACCATCGGCATGTTTTGTATAGATTATATAAATTAATTTATTATACATATAGATAATATTTTACCGTTGTCTCTTCAGGTATAGATAAGAACATGGCAGTGGCGTGCTGGCTCCTGTTCGTCAGGGCAGGCGCCCATCCAATGTGTCGGGGGCGGATTTTCGAAACATCCTTTAAGACAGTTTAATACGCGCCGCTCTTTCCTTTACTCATTTGGCAGAATTTAAGGAGAAATGACAATTTTGGTTTCATTTCATGCAGTTTCGGCGTCCCCTAAAAGCTTTTGCGCCCCCTAAAATCCCATGAGCCCCCTGCCCCTCCCCCCGCCCTGCCAGCACACTACTGGAACATTGTAAGAACATCACTATACTAGCATATATATATATATATATATATGTACATCAGGACTACTCGCCTCGGTGGCTGCATGGTTGGCCACTTTTTATCATCTACTTACATCCTTTATGTTTTATGTGATCTGGATCATTCTGTTCCAGAGCAGTTGACGTTTGTGTGTTCATGTCTTCCATAACCAGTTGTGATTCTTCATCATTTGATGTTTCTTCCTTCTCAGGCTTTTGAATTTCGTCGTTCTGACTTTCTTCGTATTCACTGAACTCATCTAGGGTTAAACGTCGTTATAGAAATCACAAAGAATTTAGGCTGAGACAGTTCTGATAAAACAGGGATGGATTTAGCGGGGGGGCACTCCAGCCATGGCCAGGGGGGTGCAGGGGGTGCTATTTTTCATGATAAAGCACAAAATTATTAGAGACAAAATGAGATTCAGTAATTTGAGTAATAACATGATGATAAGCGAACTGTGAACAACAATTACAATTCAAATACTGTAGTCAAGCAAGACTTTGCAGTAGTTGATAGACGGGTAAAGTCACTGGAAACCAACTGCAACGTACTCGTCCGGAAAAATTTTTTGCCTAAAAAGTTGTCGACGGGGGGGGGAGAGGTCATTGCTCTCTGAAAAAAAATTTTCCGGAAAATTTTTTTAAATAGGGGTCCCTAAAAAAATTTGCACCCCCCCCCCAACCAGATCATGCTGGATCCATCCCTGGATGAAAACGAATACCAAGAACCGGCCGAAAAAACCGAATCAATCAATTTTTACTACAGGTTTGAAACTACACATGCCGGCTTAACGTTAAGGCCCATTTCCACCCAGGAAAATTTTCCGCAGGAAGAAAATTTTGTAAAATGTGATTGGCCGACACAAATTTTCCGTCGGAAAAAAATTTTGAAGTTGAAGTGAAATTTTCAACTTTCAATAATGATATTTTCGGAAAATTTTCTGTACGTGGAAATTTTTCTTGAGTGGAAACTCACTCGGGAATCTAACCTCTTCCATTATTTGGTCAGTGCGTGCACATGCATGTATAATTTGTTTGTGAAACTGAAACCCAAAGCCTGCAAGATTTTAATTAAGACAGCGTTGCCGGCACGTGTTCGGTGTGGTTCCATTTTATTGAAATATATACCGCGATTTTTCGGGGACTTTTCCAGTTTTTATATGCAAAACAACATCGCCATCGGTTAAATAGTTCGTTTTTTAAATTAAATATAGTCTTTTCTCTTTATCGTTTAAACGCCTCATCCTATACACGAATCATTCTCTATTACAAACTGTCTTTATAGATTTGCATGTTTTTCTACTACAGTATTTATGATATCAATAATTTAACATGATATTTGCATGAAACAACTCTTTTGTATAACTATATTATGCTTCTTGACAGTTCTTGTAAGGATATTAGAATCCTGTATGTAAGATTAGCACCTCGGTTATAGCTGTTCAAGATTAGATAAATCAATGAAAATTGAAGTTATTTTCCACTGTTTTTATAAACCTACCAGATTTAGCCATGGCGAGGCCAGCGAAGAGGAGAAATCCAATAATAGCAATCAGTTTTGAATTCATGTTGTCAATTACTGTCAACTATCGCGTCTTCTTTTCTTCAACGTTTTGGTCAAGAATAATTTCACCCTGTATTCTCCATTCTTTTATATGCATGCATGCAGCGAAAACTCGCCCACATGAATAACATGTCAGTTAAAACCCTTTCACATGCAACAAAGACTATATAGATAACATAAAACTCCAACAACTTCAACTGCTTCTTTGTACTCCACTATAGGCTTAGGGCTATATTTCAAATTTGAAAGTTTTCTTATTGAACTCTTTCCCGTGTTTCAGGCTACAGCTAAATTCAATTAAATTCTCAATTTCTATATAAGACTAATTCAAATTCAAAGTTCTTTCTGACTCTTTATTCTTTTATTCCATTCCATGTAATTTTATGGACAGAATAAAGACGTTTCAGGAAGTCTAATTATTATTGTTATACAGTATATAGCATACAGGGTGTCTCAAAAAAACCCAAAATCATTGAAATAACGTATTGTTCGAATTTCAATGCCGTAACACAAAGGATTTTGACAGGGTGATTAATTTGTTTTAAAAAATTAAAATATCTTTGTAAAGTGAACGTTTGTTTGCTCATGGGAATTTAAAAATGCTTCGTAAATTGTAATATGCGTAATATGCATTCGTGGGTTTAGTACTTTATGCCTGACATAACAAGTTTACGCTGAGTATTAAGCCTGCCGCACACGAGAGCTATCTGCTGAGCAAAAAGTTACTCGTGCCTGTTAGCTCAGCCGATAGCACACCGTGTGCGGTTACAATTTACTGAGTTTTTTGCCTCATGCAACCTTTTCTCAGGTATCAAACATGTTTGATCGGTGAGCTATCGGCTGAGCTAACAGGCACGAGTAACTTTTGGCTCAGCAGATAGCTCTCGTGTGCGGCAGGCTTTACCATTCATTATAGCAGTTATGTCAATCTTTTATGCACTCGTGGGATTAACTTAGTGCTAGGGCATTGAATATCGAACAACACGTCAATTTCAATGATTTTGGGTTTTTTTGAGACACCCTGTACAGTACTTGTAAAATAAAAACTTATTAAGTGTCATTAAATAAATGCATAAAATTTGCTTTATCACTCGCGTGTGCAGTAATTTTGACAGTTGTGCTATTTTAAATTCCCAGGCACCTAGAATCTTTTGTCCTTAAAACAATGTCGATTTCTTGGGGAATTCCGAGGTTGCGTTTTTTTAATACACCCTGTAGTGTTGAAACTACAGTATAAACGTGCATGATTGAATTCAAATCTATCCCGCCCGGCAAACAAGTGAAAAATTGTTGCTCGCTCCGACTGCAGGCTACGTACATAAATTATCAAAATGGAGTCAAAGTTTAAAGAGAAAGTTTTTCCAGTTTACGAAAAGAATACATCTTACAGAGACGAAAAATACTCAACAGGCAACAGGAAATACCGGTGAAACACTGTTATGGTTCTTTGTGTTAAAATCATTTACAGTATTAAAGAGTTTCATTCATGAAATATAATTGTTTTATAAATGTTCACTGTTGTTTGTCTTTTCTTCTTTTCTTCATCGCTATATATAACAACCAGTTAATTTTAATGCCTGTTCCCACAAATAGTTTGTTTTGTTGTTCCTCGAATCTCAATGTTTCCCTCGACTTTGTCTCTGGAAACATTCAAACTCTTAGAAAACAATTATTTCCCTTGCCCTTTGGGAATATAGACATATAATGCAATGACACAATTACATGCCTGAAACTGAAAGAGATAAAGAAAACTTAGCGATATTTCGAGCGGGGGCATTCGTTTGGATCATGCAAGCCCTTTATCTGAAAGCCGTTTTGTCTTTGCTCAAAATGTGGAAGTTTTCTTTGACTTTGTCTCTTTTGAGCATGAGGTAGTTGCGAGCAAAACGGAGTCATGTTTATTATTGATTATTATTGAATATAATATATACCTGCATGCAGGGTTATATGCTGGGCTCGCACGCTTGAATATACGGAGTGTCCCGAAAAAGATGCAAAAGTTATGACTTTTGTTCCAAATTTTTACACAGATAATTTGATACTTTTAATTTATTATTCAAAGATAAGCCCATCATTTTTGGCCAGCATAATTTTAATAGCATGTTTCGTGCACGAATATATGAAATTTCTCTTTGGCATCAATCACAACCCTTTCCCGGCCGAAGTGTATATATTATGTATAATCAATATTTATAATTTTAGCAATGTTTACCATACATCTGCTTCCAAATGAAAATGATTTTTCTCTAATATTAATTAGAACAATCATCCGAAATGCGGTGAATGCGAGTGAACACGACGCTGTGATATTTGCTGGATCAGGATCTACCGCAGCTGTTCATAAACTTATACACGCTCTCAGATTGAAAACACCACCTGTACGTATTTTTGCTCTCATGTTAGCATTTTGGAATAAAAGATTCATGAAACGTTTGGGTTTTTTATTTCTTTACTGTATTAAGTTTTGCCAAATATATACGTAATTACACTATATTACACATACTTAATATTTACATAACAATACGCACAAATGGCAGGGTACACGCTACAGTTTTTGCCAGTTAACAACCCTTAATTTTATAGTGCGATCATGCACACGGGGAAAGCTGGAGAAGCGTGTAAAACACTCGGCTATGCCTGGTGTTTACACGCTTTTCTCGTATTCTCACAACATTCCCCCTCGTGCTTTATCACACCATAAACGCACGTGACTCGTTTTCTATTTCTTAAATAGATCGTGTTTGTTGGCCCATTTGAACATCATTCGAACATTTTACCATGGAAAGAAATTGGAAGCAAGGTAAGGCTGTGGTCATTAAAAATGGAAAGGGGGGGATAGGAGGAATTTGACTAAAGTTGAGTTGTTTTTTTTTATATCCCCCCTCAAATTTGTGGAAAAATAGTTATCCCGCCTTGCCTGGGTGGCAAAAATTGGTAACCCCTATTGCCTCAAATGCAGTAATTAAAAGGTATACAAAATATCAACAGCAAGTAAAATGCAACATTTAACATATAATGCTTACAAACATGGTGACTGATTTGTTGCTACAAAATCCGCAGTTTCATAGCAAAATAAATTGAATACATAGAATAATCCAAGTTTCAACACAAACCTCTATACTCTGTTCTGTTTTACACTTTATTTCTTAATATTAAAGGTAACCTGGAAGGTTTAGGAATTCAACAAACTTAATATTGTAACAAATTTATTGTAACCATTCTGCTCCAAAGTGATCGATTCTGCCACGATGTGACTCTTCTTTCAGTCCTTGTCGTACGTGCGTCACAAAACCCTTCTGTTGTAGTATTCATAGAAATATTATCTTCCTCCAAATCCGATTCTCCAAATTCCGCTAGAATAACATCACTATCACTGTCTTGATCTTCACCTTCTGAATTTTCTTTGCTGTCTGAGGATTCCTCACAAGTATCTACTTCTGTAGCTACAGATAATCCTTCAGGAAAGGGGACTTCATATCATGCAGAGCAAATAAGTTGTGACAGATGAGGGGGAATTGAACTGTGCTGAACTCTATAAATTTAAGCCAAAATTTCATTTAAAGGCATTACAATCACTCATTGCATTAGGCTTGTTTGGTGGTGAGGTGTTGGAACATGTTGTTTGCACCGAAGCAAGATTGTCGAAAGCCTTATAAATTTGCATATTAAAGACAGTAAAGTCCTGTTTATAATAATTCATTTTGAGTTTATATAGTTAAAGTTGATTTGATACACATTGTTATCTTAATAATTGTGTGCTCTGTAGTATGCAATGCTTTTGTGACTCAGTTGTATAAAGTCTACAATGTTCTTTTATCATTGTTGTTGTGTTTTAGAGTAAAGTTGCCTATGTTTTATTACCACAAGTATTGTTTGGTTGTTTACTTCAAAATTTGATCTCACAATTTTAATACCCCCCCCTTGTCTTATCTCTAATATTTAGTATCCCCCCTTTTGATGCTGTAAAAATTTTATATCCCCCCCCCCCGATTTTCCTCCTACCCACCCCTTAACATTTTTAATGACCGCAGCCTAATGGTACAAAATCCACTGGGGAGCTGCATTAATATTCTACCAAAACTTGCTGTAATGCTTTATAGAGGGTCTAAAAAATCAAAGGATAATTCCAGTCGGATAGTATAGTTAAATATACCCTGCACATCAATGTTGGTGAAAATTGACAGTGCAGCATGGTAGCTATATAATTTTGTTACTATAAAAGAAGATTTTATTGTGTATAAAAACGTTTGGCAGAGTGCTCAATGGATATTCAAACCTATGATTAAATAAATTCAAGTACAACGACTCAATAAATTCCACTAGGCATGTTTAGTACTATTTAATTTCGTACCACAAGATGTGGCACTCATCAGATAAATTACATTATTATTTTTATTTATTGAAAATAATTCTAGAGTTTTGATTGGCTAAGAGCTGTCGGTTAAATCGTCATATCCGTTCGGTAGCTGCCCAAATTTGGAGTTATGACATCACCGTGGAATTTTGAAAATAAATATACCACGTTTGACGTAATATCGTGGTATATTGAAAAACAATGTAACACGCTATGACGTCACGCTAATTTATGCGGCTTATGCCAAAAGCGGGAAAATACAAATGGCTTCCTCAAAGGAAAGGTTCGCCGACCTTGGGAAGCTGAAATTAAAAAATTGCTCGAAGAAAAAGACTCAAAAAACGCAAAAAAAGCTACAAAAGGAAGAAAACTGATCTTTGGGGAGTATCTACGAGAAAAGAAACTTGGCCATCCACAAAATAGCGAAGAACTTGCTTCGGTTCTCAAGAGCTTTTATTTCTTTTTGAGTCCGAAATGTTTACAAATAAATAATAAAACAATTATTGAATTCGGTTCTCGCAGGATATGAGGGATTATTTAGGCCTTGATTTATGTTATCTGTCTGAGCCTTTGGCTTCGGCAGATAACACAAAAGTCGGTCTTAATAATTCCTCATATCCTACTCGATCTCATTCAGTAATTGTTTATTAATGATACCTAATTATATAGTTGACTAATTTATTTGAAGAGTGCTATACATCTTGTGGTACGAAACTAAATAGTAATAAAGATGTCTATATATAGTGGCATTTATTGAGTCGTTGTACTCGAATTTATTTAATTCTATTACTGTACAGATTGTGTGGGTACGTGAAGCAGAAGACGGGAATGTTGATGTTGACCACCTTGAGGATATGTTAAAGGTAATCTTAGGAAATGTTTGATTAAACGAACTGAGCATTTTTACTGCTTTCATGAAAACCACAAACATACAGGTAGCTTGAATGGTTCAAATCCGAAAAAATTAAAATAGAGCATAAAATATAGAGCGTGTATATAGTGAATCTAAAATTCGGACTGCACGGCATTTCAAGAAATCCAAGCAGTTTGACGGAATTTCAAGTCATACCCATAAATCATTCATTTTGATCCATTGCTAGGACTGGAATACTGGATCCATGTACTTCTGCGGCTTTCCAGTACCATCATATGAACTAAATAAAGCAATATGATTGGCTTATTGGCCTCATGAATTATTGATTGAGTTTGAGATGCTTGACATATACGGTACTATACTCAATTTGGGACAATTATTGATACATTATTATAATTCTTATAACTAATTAACAAGTCTTTGATAATAAATGAAGCCTATAGGCTATAATCAAACTTGTGGTCTTGGTTATAACCTGCGATGATGCTCTATGTTACTTTACGTCTCTGTATGTCTCTACTCTGTGATTAAACGGCACATCAACCACGTCATTTCAATTAACGCGCGCGCATCCAAGACAAGAGAAATTAATTTTGCACATTAAAGAGAGCACGCCACGTACTATCTAGTGGCTTTCCCTCCTGATCTATAGTATTGTGCTTCTCGATTTCAATTGACTCTCTCATTTTGCGAGAGAACTTATATTATTTTATAGTTTAGTTAATTTAATACCACACTTGCCTTTCAAACTGAGAGATCTGGGTTCAATCCTTAGTCGGACCTCTACTCAAGGTCTTAAAATAATTGAGGAGAAAGTACCGTTACATTGACATCGGTAAATGGTTAGACTCTCGCGTCTTCTCGGATAAGGACGTTAAAGTGGCAGGTATCTCGGATCCCCTATCAATTGAGCAGCAGCTTGTTGGGAAATCCGCTCAACAATGAGTGAGAAACTCGATAAACTAATATTCTGGGGTTTTTTATTTCAGTTACATTCAAATGGTGAAGAAGAGTTAATTGGTTGTTTCTGTGCTGCCTCCAATATCACTGGTATTCTTACAGATACAAACAAAGTGTCCGCCTGTTTGCATCGTTACGACGCTCTGGCCGTCTGGGATTATGCAACTGCAGGTAGCTACAACTTTCAGATATTTATTTCCAACTAGATTCATATCAATAACATTTTATTCATTTTTACAAATCCAGTATGAGTAAAGACGTCCTCGTAACTGCTCTTTGTGACGTCATTATAAATTAGTATACTATACAAGATCAATATTGTAACACAGGGAAAAATTAATCAATTGCGTACTCTTTTCATTTATTCAGTAGCAATGTTTTATAAGCTTGCCAGGTGATCTTGATACGCGGAAAAGTACTGGCACTAGTTGTCAAATAGAAATCCATTTTATGATTAAAACAACTGAATATCTCCTGTAATATACTTTATTTCGATTCCATATTTTTGTCAGAGCTATAGTTCTCATAACCAAACATAATTACAAAATTTCAACTAGTTTCATAAAGAATAATGAAAGATATAATTGATTGAATACACCAAAATGGATTTCTATTCGGACAACCCTTTCTGAGCGCTGATTGGCTAAAATGCGAACACGAGATCACCTGGTGCATGCATGAGAAAAATATTAATTTCTAGTGATTAGCCTATCTTGAAAGTCTTTGGTAACTTAATATGAACAAGTTTTCTTTGGTAGGGATGCAACTATACCTGATGAAAAATGTAAGTAGTTGCATTTCTACCAACGAAAGCTTGTTCATATTATTGGCACTACTTATACACTGGGACAGACAGTTCAACTTAATGTACGTTATAATTATTTAGGACCGTATACCGAAATTAATATGAATCCAGTCGTGACTAGGTAATCCTTTTATTTTAATATCTATATTTGGGTATAATATCTACGAATCAGTGTCTTAAATATCATCTATTCGGATGTCCAAATTTCGCTGAAAATTTCCTTCAAAATCTTTACTATGTTCAAAATCCCTTACTATGGAAATAGTAGAGATCTTAATATCCATATTAATTGACATTTCCATAATGTGGATATGGTATGGAAATAGGATAATTATACCATGGAATTATAGTGATACAAAAATTATATGTATATAGAATATGGATTTCACTCCTTTCCAGTGTTTACGATTTGGATTTTTTAAGTCGCTTTTCCACTAGGCGAATTTCTTCGCGCGAAGCGGAGACAAATTTCGTTAAAAACATGTTACACAAGGCAATTTTTGCTGCAGCTTACGGCACAAATTCTGATATAGAGCAATGTTATCTAAAAATCTGTCGCAAGAAAATTCTGCATGAGCATGGCCCACGGTTTATTCTGCCTAAATTTTTCATCATATTTATTCCGTTTTTGTACAAGGTATATTTATGAGAAAGTTTCTTTGGGGATTACGCGACGCCCCCCTTTTCATATGGTTATCATAGGCGTACGAGACAAGGGGGGGGACTGCCATGGAAATTCGGGCAAATGTCAGGAAAAATCAAGAACATTCGGGCAGATTTACCAGAATATGTGTTAAAATCCGGTTATTTCATTGCAATCCTCCGTAAAAATTTGGACAAACTTTCAACTGCCCCCCCCCCCCGGAAAGCATCAGCCCCGTACGCCTATGATGATTGTTCTTGGTGGTTGACAGCAATTACGGAAATTATGTATTGTAGTGGTTAAGAACTTTCTCTGAGGGTTTATTATAGTAAGTTCAGAAAATTAATTGGAATACTGAATTTTACTGTATATTTAAAAAATGTGACGGAATTGCAAACGATTCTCCGAGAATTTATTGACCTTGGCCTATTGGTGAAAACTTACTGCATGTATTATTTCTATTTTATCTGATTAGTAAAGATCAAAGTCTCGTGTACAAAGATGCTGTTTTTCTCTCACCGCATAAATTTGTTGGTGGAGTGGGTACTCCAGGTTTGTGTAACTCAACGAGTATATGTTATGTATTTATGGTGTAGAATTAGGAAAACGGTCGTCAATCTGACCGTGACAGTGAGAATCTTTCTCCGGGCCGGTATAATACCACATTCAGCTACTGTGTATAACGAAATGATTTTAGATAAAAATTTTAGATAGTGCTTTTCTTTGAAACTTCATGATCTTGAAATATTTGATTGCATTCAGGCATACTTATAGCAAAGAAGAAGCTGTTCCAGAATACTGTACCATCAGGTTGTGGTGGTGGATCTGTGTTCTTTGTAAGTAATAAATCATATAAGCCAAACCAGAGACAAAGTGTATGATTATAACTGGCAATTGACATGTCCTATTTAACAAATCTCAATAGGTTTCTTGTAGGATATCATGGTGATAAATGTAATTGATCATATGGTTTTGATAACCAACGGCTTTGGTATAAATTTACTAGCTGAAAGTGTATACAACAGATGTTAAATGTAACATCTCAAATAGGTGACGCACAATTCTCATCGCTACTTGAAAGAAGTTGAAATGCGGGAAGAAGGCGGGACACCAGCCATTGTAGAGTCTATCCGTGCAGGATTAGTTTTTCAGTTAAAGGAGGTACGTCTGGGGCCGGCTGTACAAACGTCGGCCCTATCTACCGGATAGTTTCAAGCTTTCTTAAGTTAGCCGTTGACACGTATAACCCACATTAAACTTTAGTATATAAAAATTAAAGTTTCCTTTTATTAATGACAACGGTTGAAAAAATCACTTTCCTGCCTTCGTACAACCGACCCCTGATCTACTGCAATTATGTTCATATTTTCTGTTATGAACAAGTTATGAACTCTTTTAAATACTCTATGGGTATATATTTATATTTTATATATTTATATTTTACAAGAACGGCAATTACTTACACCACCATTGTTGGTATGATTGGTTTAATCTTTGCTATATAGAATTGACCAACACCTCGGGCCCTTTTCACCAACGGCCGAATAATTCCAAAGAATCGCAGGCTCAGACAACGATATTGAAAACTGACCTGCACGCAGGCTCAAATGCTTACTTCAATTACATATAGCCTGTATCTACCTTCCTCAAAAGTGTAACTGCTAAAACATCCCAGAACACTTGTTCCAAATAGATCTTGAGTCCGGATCGGAAAAGTATTGGACTGAAAACTGTACACGTGAAAACATATTTGAAATTAGCTTGGCTAGAATTAATATAATAGGATTTATGTCGTTCGTTGTTAATTTGCTAAATATAACGGTTATGCGGTAAAGAATATGAACCGCATTGATGCATGTGTATGTCATTGAATTTTCATGAATCGCTTAAGCAAACGACGTTTTTGTCAACACGGACGTCAGATTGCCGAGGGGGGACTGGGTTAAAAACTGTGTTTGTATCAGTTTGTGGTAATCTTCAACACATCTGACAAAACATAAGATTTTTTATAGTTTTTTGCTTCCTTACACGAGCGCTTTGATGCAAAATGCCTCCAATATTAGTTATACTAATTTTCGGGTGACGTCCGTGTTGACTGTTCATCTATTACCTGAACCGACCGAACTTGTCCTACTTTGATCGAAAGAGAAAACTAAAATAAACGTATCTATTTTTTGTTCATTACTGATGCTGTGGAGGTATTTGCCCGACTAGAGCTAAATAAGTTCGTAATTTTGTGTTTTACACCAGGCTGTTGGTCATGAGAATATTATGAAAATAGAAGAAGAATTTCAAAAGTAAGGATTTTCTGTACTATACACATTGAGACATTTGATTTTACATGTTATTAATTCGCATAATCTATGAAGTTATTAGCTTAGCGCAAAGCTAAATTTAAGGAAGAAACCTACTGCACATACCCAAATGAGATCGCTTCGCCGGCGCGGGCAAAGTGGCCGTAATGGAGCCTTAAAGGTGTCCGTGCTGGTGGAGAATTTATATCCAACATGAGTGGATAACAACACAAGTGTCAGATGCGTTAGCGCGCTGACCTAAACCTCTAAGGTAAACGTGATACTGCAGATCGAGGGAAGGATTTCTTTATAAGTTGGCTAACTTCCCTGTACTTGATAAACTCATGTAAGTACAGTAGAGTTTGATTGGTTTCCTCCTGTGTTTCCAAGGTTTTTTTCCGAGTCCTCCGGTTTTTCTCCCTCCCCATACCTTGTTTTGTCAATTTGTATAACCTGTTAAGGCTTCCTGTCCACCTCAGAATGATAAACACATTAAACTAAACCAATGCGTTGACTGCTATATAGTGCTTATTAATAACATTGTATTTCATTTTAGACTGGCCAGTGATGTATTCTCGAGAAGCAAGAATTTAATAGTCCTTGGGAATTTGAAAACGTCACGTCTTCCTGTTTTCTCATTTTTAATACGACATCGAGATAGTGGTTTGTTTCTACATCACAATTTTGTATCATCGTTATTAAATGATCTTTTTGGCATTCAGTCTCGTGGAGGATGTGCCTGTGCTGGACCTTATGCTCAGGTAATGAATTTATCAGCTATAGCGTAAATTAGATAATTGAATATAGTCGTCAGTTTGTAAATTACTATATACTAAATTTTGCTGAATAGCTCTGTCAATACTGTAAACTGTTCCCCCAAGAAGTCAACATGGCATCCCTAAACAAATCCGTGTTATTGCTGGAGGAGACCAGAATACCCGAAAGAACCTGAGGTGTTTCGTATAGAGTCATTGAAACTGAAAGTAATATTCTCACATGTGTCAGAGGCACAAGCCAGTCAATCTATACAGTACTGCCATGTAAGCATCGGGTATGTACTGTACGTCTTATTTAGCCACTTTTATGCTTTGTACCATTATTAGCCGTATCATTTCACCTGTATGTCGCCTATTGTAGGATCTTCTTGGTATTGATGAGAAATTAGCGAACGAGATTGAATCTGCACTTCTGGAGGACAGGTATAACATTTTGTGTAGCATGGTGTAAGGTAGAATGTCTAGATACCGTTAGTCATCATAAAAATTGATCCTCGACTCGGCAAATTTGTGTTACTCTTTGTTTAGTCGTTTGGATAGAGTTCATTTGCGAAGGTACCGCGAATATTCTGAACGAGAGTTGATTAGGTAACTATTTTATTAACTACAGTATATACCGAGGGCAGTAATCTATATTCCAGAAAGTGAGGGATAAAGCCGGCCAAATCAATATGAGAATCAGTGGCGGAAATCTCGGTGGGGCGGGGGGGGCGACCGCCCCCCCCCCCACCTTCACGGAAAATTGACGAATTTTCGGAAATTTTGATCTAAAGAAGGCTAATAGTTGGGTTCGTCGGAAATTTGAAAGTTTTGTCGGAAATTTAGGAGGCTTTGCCCCCCCACCAGAAAAAGTGAATTTCCGCCACTGATAGTGATGAGAATTGTCCTCCCGTGTACAAAATAGTGGCGAGAATCAGCCCCTCTAACTTTATATAGCCCTTGCTACATAACTGACTAATTGACAAATATACCCGGAATATTAACATCTTGTAAACTCAAGATTATTTAATACCTTGAATGTTGTTATGTTGTTTAAATAGCTCGAATCTTGAGTTTACATGATGTTAATATTCAGAGTGTGTCAGATTTCGCGAAATTGTCTGCTGGATTTTTAAATTCGGGTTCACTTAATAAAAACTTTGTTTTGTATTACGTGTATTTCATTTTTCAACAGTCGTAGACCTGTTTCAAACGTTGCGCTTCTCGTGTGCCGAACGCATTGGCAACAATAGATAATGAGGCATTTCAGCTGATTATCTATTGTTTTTAATGCGTTCAGCACATGAGAAGCGCGACATTTGAAACAGGCCTTACTTGGCAAGTTACAGTGGGCAAATTTCCCTCACTTTAATTATAATATACATTTTATTTTATCAGTTTTATTTTACTGACAGACCAGGTTTTACCAGAATAAATCTTCCATACTTTATGAAGAAAGAAGAAGCTGTATTTATCCTAGAAAGTATTGTAATGATTGCAGAACATGGTTGGAAACTTCTGCCGAAGGTACTTTACATGACGTAAAATATACGTTTTGCTTTTGTTTGAAACCCATTTAGTTGAAATAAAGTAAAATGAGACACATTCATTTACTCTATGCACAACAACTGCAGTCATTTGCTTGTACATTCAAGAAAAGCCTGATTCGTTCCTGAGAAATTAGCAAAAGTTTGAATGCGTTAATTACGCATATATGTATGTAGTATATACAGCATGACACATAACTTAATGCGCTGATGGAGTTATGCAGTCTCCAAGTGATCAAGTGCATTCATGCACATTGGCGTACGAGAAAACCATGGAAATTCGGGCAAATGTTGGGAAAAATCAAGAAAATTCGGGCAGATTTATCAGAAAATAGGTTAAATTCAGGTAATTTCATTACAATCCTCCAACAAAATTCGGGCAAACTTTCAACTGCCCCCTGGAAAGCATCAGCCCCGTACGCCTATGTTCATGCATTGTCCTCACTGTGGTTATTGTTTAAATTTACCATCATTAAGATTTCATGCACTTCTTTTAAGTACATGTTCAACCCTGAAACTGGCGAGTGGCGGCATCAGCAACATCAGGTAAGCTAAATAATAGTCACCTTACACTATAGTCATATACATGTAGTATATTATTCGTACCAGATATGTTAGATGGGTTTTTTTGTGAATTCTAGCGCAAATTTATATAATATTTTTGACATTACCTATAGAGCAGCTGCGAAAAATGCAACTGCAACCCCATAATTTGCATAACAACCGCTGCTAATTAGCATTTCAATGCATGTGAAACTTATTATGCTCCTGGGATTTGAAATGCATAGACTAAGTTTCATTCGAAGATTGATCACCAATACAAAACCTGAAATTTACTGACATGAAGTAGAGTTGTTGTGGTTGGTTCTTTCCTGTGCTTCGAGGGTTGTCCTCCTGTTTTCCTCCTTCGCCAAAGAACTAACCCTTTGACTTGGTTGTGTAGCATTTGTATCGTGACCCTCTGGGTTATCATTACTCAACTATTTTATTTCAACAGATCTTTAAAGATCGTAAATGGCTAGGTTCGATTTCATATTCATCAGGAGAGATGAAGTATCCTGACAACGTTAGTACTTCAAATGAAAATGAAACGAAAGTACTAAACTATCAGGTGTGTCATTAATTCGAACTCTTGCTTGTCTTCAGCCGTGTATACATGTATGCACATGTTAGAACGTATGAGGTTACGGCTTTTGGGAAAATCTTTTGAATTTTCAAACGGGAATCGAACCCAAGGTGTATTAGTTTAAGAAAAAATCTTCAGGAGAGATTCTCAAAGATATCTGTTATGGAACAGATAGGAGGATTAAACAAAATCTCCAATTTTGTGTGCATGCATGCACTAGCTAGTCCAAAGAATCTTGCGCTGCACTCAGTGTTGCTCATATTCATACCCGAGAATATCGTTGCAGTGCATCCGAGGCAGCTTGTTGACAAAGCTAGACATATCACAACCATTTTTCTCTGTCAGTGAGTGAATTTCTATATCATCATTTTGACTTTACTGATATTTTGCAGGAATGTTTGGCTACTGCAATGGAAATTTTTAACGAGGCCGCTGTTGTTAAGGTTTGTTGTACCAATATTTTGTACCAGTCTTTTAAAAACAATTCGGGCTTCATTCTACACTACTATACATACACATATACAATTATATTAACTATCAATGTTTGTCACAGGGTAAAAACAAACCAAACGATCAGTCGTTATTGCTCGGAGACGCCGAAAGGTTACGATGGTTTTTGTTACCCAGTGAAGCGCACGTATTCCTTCGTAGGGAAAAACGTGATGGCTATCCAAGAGTACCTCCATTTACCCCTCTACGTCGCTGCTATTACGGAGAAATGAAAGATGAAGTAACAGAACATAATGACGAAGGAGAAAATAGCGAATGTGAACAAAAGAATTGCTCAGGCTTTACAGATGAGATTGAAATGTGTGAAGAAAAACGTGTCAAAGAGAAGTCTGAGTCAGAGGAATGTAACGAAACAATAGATAATGATATCCGTAATTCAGAGGTGGATAAAAACAGTCGTGAAGGATCTCTAGAACTTGAAAATAATGTAGTTATGAAGTGTTCAACTGAAGACTGCCGTAGTATTAAACAAAATCAACACGTCAAGTTTCATAATCCTCCACGTCATGTCTTCAATCTCACAGTTAAGGTCTGTTGATAAACTATCTGTAGATTCAAGAATATATTTGTTTCAATCTGCGATTAGGTTGTAAGCTCTTATTGCGATATTCACTTTTTTCTCCACATTGAAAACAAAAGATATGTTTTATTAACTGCAGTCAGTCAAAGAAAATTGTAAGTTCTTGTAATAACATCTGCTGTAGCAGTTGTCAGCCTGTACTGTATGTGAGTACAACGCAATCGACCAACTATGAATAAGAAGCCGATTTTGAATGACCTAATTTACATATTTTGTAGTTTGAAAAAGCCATATTTTGAGAATGGTTTGAAAATTTGAAACTTTACCTGGAGGAAGTTTGAACACTTTTTGCAACTCCGGAAGAGTAAAAAGAAGGGTTATTATTAACATGTACTTTTTTTTTGCCAGGCAATTGAAGAGTTTCAAATGATCGAGGATGGCGACCGTGTTCTCGTGTGCGTTTCTGGTGGGAAAGATTCTCTCTCAATGTTACATACGCTACACCAGTATCAGTTTTATGCCAAGACTAAGGTACAGTAATGATACAATAATATACAAACGGAAATATCCATATATATCCGTGATTAGACGATTCCCTCTCGATGTTACATCTACACTGCATCAATTAAGACTATATATATATGATAATAATGACATACAAATCAAACATCATTAAGTCATATTAAAGAGTCTCATTATACGCTATATCATATCATGAATTTTACAGGGACCGCGGAGACGGGGGGGCTGGGGGGGCTTTAGCCCCCCCACTTTTTTTGACAGCCAAAATTATTAAAATAGAAATCTAAATGAAACTTTCTAAATTAATTAAACCTCACCCTTTAGCCCCCCCACTCTCTAATACGCTCCGTGGGCCCTGCTTTACACTAAGCTATGGCACAATAATGAGACATGATTGTGTAAGGGGGGTTAGGACCCCCCCCTCCCAATTTTTCGGACACTAAAATTTTAAGTCAAATTTCGGTTACATTACCGTTATTCGTAAAAACATTTCTCCAAATTTTTGCTATTACTATTATTTCTTACTCAATGTCAATCACGTATTGTAGTTCTTTTCCTTCCTATCCAATTCAGGTTTTGCCGACAACGAATACAATTTGCCGACAAATCCGTCGTTTTTGCCGATAATTTGTTTTCAGGGGGGTATCACTCCTCACCCTAGCCACAGATTAAGTATATACTTAATCTATGCCCTAGCGACGGCCCTGCATGGCATCGAAATGAAATGAGAGTTCAAAGTCGAAATTACCCATCGCAGTTGTCTATCAATGTTACGTATACGCTATATGAACATCCGTTTAGGCAAAAAGAGTTGGATAGAGTAATGAAACAACAGTAATGCATGACATTAGTTAGGTTCGAGATTACCTACATCTTTCTAGTTTATGGACAAATGCAAGTATCTGTCTACTTGCATTTTTGCTCCTACTATATGGAGCAGCAGACTTTCCAAGGTATTCAAAACCGTAATGAAATAGCTTGAAATGTGATTTGACTAAGTCAATAAGTTGGTACTTATTTGTATATATGCAATTGTGATCCCTCGTATTCTATCTCGTTTACATTCTTATAATGAATGAATGCGTTTTAGAAAACAGTGATTTATGTATTTCATCTTAAAGACTAAAACACACGTCGTGTCGTACGTCCAGCTCAAGTACGCGGCAATAATCATTGGAGTACTAGTGGGGCACAGCTAAAATCGTAGTTGAAACGTCGTACAGTTTAGCAAGCTGACAACACTATACCTGAACTTCAACGGGTTATTAAATTAGTAACTATTTTCTGGAAATTATTGGACAAATAATCTTTTTGTTTTACTAATCTTGCAGGGAATAAATTTCAGTCTAGGAGTTGCAACAGTAGACCCAGGCTCTTCAGCCTATGATCCTAGTCCTCTTAAAATTTACATGCAAGAACTTGGTGTAGAATATTTTTATGAAGTTCAAGGTAAACTCGCAATAAAACAACTCTTTTAACTCGCATTCAATTCTTTAATCCACTTGCATTTTGCCCCAATATGAGCATATATATAATTATACCTTGAACTGAAAGTTAAATTGTTTAATATCTTTTCGTATGTATAATTTTTTATGGAGATCATACATATATACCATGCCACACCCATGCAATCGTATACATAATAATCTGAGTTCAATCTTCCTTTTCATTGGTCGACGCCGCAATTTTCCGTTTCAGTGACGTAATATCTAGCTTTAAAAGCCAATCATAGCTCAGTAGTACCAACTGATTGTGTGCGTTGTTTGGTCAGAACACGTCAAATGTGTTCCGTCGCGATTCAAAGCCCCAAATCCTTACGGCGCGTGTAACATTTTTGTTTTTACTACGTTATGACGTCATACTGTGTGTCTATTTCTAAACAGACAATGGCAAAGTGTTATCTATTAGTTAAGTGGCTCAATTCGCTCATGTAGTTGGTTATTTATAGTTTATTTTGAGGGAAATTAGGAACAATTTTAAGGAACAATTTTAAAAATTGGAGTTTGGACAATTGTACCTCCCAAGGGCGAAATTAACTTGCATGCAAGAAATATAATGCAATATGTCTAAGCAGTCGAATGAAAACGCAGAAAATAATGCAGGATGTGTGCCTTGTCATTTAGGAATTATTAAACAAGCATCGGAGCTGGCTGTGTGTGAGTCGATTTGTAGCTTTTGCTCCCGGATGAAGAGGGGTCGTCTGTACGCATGCGCACGACGTCATGGATATAATGTCCTTGCTATTGGTCAACATCTGGATGACATCGCTGAGAGGTTTTTAGCAGTTTGTTATTTCACCCGCTCACCTAACTACATTTTCAATAATATTGACTTTTAAAGGCCTTGTTATATTCCACCCCTCGAGATTTAATCGGGAGTCTCTCGATTTATGAACCTCAGAATAACCTTTTCCAGAATAATCCACTATCATTAAGCAAAATGAAAACTTTCTCGTTAAGAATGCATGTAAAGCATTGTCAACAAAAGAATGTAGGTGAAGTACTCGATTATCGCTGAGACTATGTCAACTTCGTCCCCAGGCTCCTCTACGCTCCTACCTCGCTGGTCTTAAGTCTTAAGGCGGTTTTCCAGTCCTCGCACGAAGCTCCTCGCTGCGAGTGCTTGCATCTAATTAAAATTAACGGTTTAGCATTGTGATTGGATGAAAGTGCTCATACATCACTCGCAGCGAGCTGCGAGGAGCTTCGTGCGAGGACTGGAAATCCGCCTTTACCCACTGATCGGACCCCCATGCACAAAAGGGGGGAAATGGGAACGAAGTTGAAACCATTTAAAAGTAGTAACAAAATTCCAACAACATTTAAAATAAATTCTATAATTACCGAATATATTCATGAAGAAAATGCAAGTTTTGAAACATGAACAGCGACATGAACAGCGACATTGCCAACCTTCCGTTTTCCGGCTACCTAAAGGCGGTTTTCCACTAGGCGAAATTCGCCTAGTGGAAAACCGCCTTAACGTTGAAACATCTGCCGAAGTTCTACGAAATGTCAAAGTGAATGTTTGTAAGTTGCGTTAGAAATGCATTGACCAAAATGGGAGTTTTGATTGAGCGACTGATCTGATGTAGGGGGGAAATATATAAGCTTCTCTAAAAATTAGATTATTAGGACACTGGCCTCTTTTTTTTGTTTTTCTAGCTTTTTAATGTCAGTGTTTCACAATGGACTACTAAGAACAATGAAAGCGAACTATTATGTGAGGTAACCAGCAAACATTTTATCTTACTGCTTAACAAATGGTCATGTTGTTGTTTACCATAAAATGCTACCTGTTACCTGAATATTTATGTAACTATATTCATATACCTTTTTTAATATTACGGCGAAATGTTTTTAATTAATTGATTGAATGATTGAATTATTTCGTAAAGTAAATAATAATATAGTGAATACATAAAACAATATTTAAAAATCGAGCTTTCGGACAGGGCTCGATAATTAAATAATACTATATTAGTAAAACATAAACCACAACGAAATTAAACTAGCTAACTGGTATAACATAAACTCTTGATTGAATTATTGGTTCATAAAACGATAATATACTTGTATGTGATCTTATCTGATGTATTGGCATGTATCAGGGATTAATACAAGCACTTTTCTACTGCCAGTGAAGCCTGGTTCACATCTGCCTGCGGTATGCCTGCGCTATCATTGCTTACAGGTGTTGATGCATACATTCTTTTGTGAATTTATTTGGTTGAACTGCTAACGACAATAGCCCGCCCGCAGATGTATATGTGAACCAGGCTTTAACGGTTGTCAAAACTCAATCTGCAATTGAGTTTTGAAACTCGATCTTTCTCCGTAATTATACTTTCACAATGTGCTTTGAAAAATTGAGGCAAATGTGAAAAATTAACTGTAAAAGGAAGAAAATACTTGACCGTTATGTATTTTTCAACATGCCATTAAAAACCGTTTTAAAACGGTTTCATTTCTGTTCAAAAGTGTTTCTGTTGCTGGAAATGTTATTTCACAAAGACCAAATCAAGAATTTTCCGGGGGGTTGGGGGTTTTGGTGGAAGTAGGGAAGTATTCTCCTTCTAAAACTCAATCTTCTTCCCTAAAAACGGCAGTAGACTAACATGCTCGTATTAGTCCCTAGCATATATATGCTTGCGTCAGTTTCGAAATATTTTCTAGTGAAAATGATCTGAGAGTTATTCGTCCTATGACGTACGTCAGAGAGAAAGATTTAAGGGATTTTGCAGAAAAGGTAAATAGTTTATCATGATGGCAAGTATTTCTTTAATTCAAAGATTAGAACCATAGTGAGATTATTTTTGAAAATGTCGGTTCTGTCGAGAAACAATGTTGTCTGCCATTACAGAAATGTTGTTGCATAATTTCTCGACAGCCACAATGTGAAAACATGGACACATGGTCTTCACGACAGCCACAATGTGAAAACATGGCCTTCTCGACGTTTCGAGCTACGGACCTCTCACCTGAGTCAGCAGTGGCGGAAATTCACTTTTTCCGGTGGGGGCCCCAAAAACCTTCAAATTTCCTTGTTTTTAGGTCAAAATTTCCGAAAATTCGGCAATTCCCCCTCCCCACTGAGATTTCCGCCACGGCTGAGTGGGATGAATTATTTATGTGTTCACGTGACTGTAAACACGGCGTCTTGAAAATATTTTTTGTCGTAATTAAACAAGCTGCACCTTGTATTACGACTTTAATTTTTTATATCTATATTACTGTTTATTTTTGGTTTGTATTTTCCAACTATGCCGTTCAGTACCAAAATCGGCATAAAATACCATCTCAAACTCATTAATAATTCATAACTAAATTAGCCAACCATATTGCTTTGTTTTGCTCACATGATAATACTGGATACCTGTATTACCTGGTGAAGTATAATGATCCAGTCCTAGGACTTGAAACCTAGTCCAGTCCTCGTAGTCGGATTTGAAATATTACATCCTGGTCAGGTTGGATGAAGCTTCATGTTTCCCACTTGACTGAAATCCCACCCAGCGCAAGGTGAGATCTCACCCATCCAGGCTGGATCGTTTCTCATATGAACACATTGAATTTTATATGCGTTAACAAAGGGCATGCAGATCTTACTCAGATGAGTTTCTCGGTTAGTTGCGCTCATATATGAACAGGTCCTAAGGCCCTTGCGTTCTTTGTATTTTACACCGTGGCCAATATATTTTTAAATATTGAAGAAAAAGATCAATGTTTTTTTCGACACACCTTAAGGCCGTTATCCACTAGGCGGAATTTTCCGCGCGGAGCGGAATTTCTCTTGTCTTTTCAAATTAGTTCCACCCGAGAAATCACAAGACAAAGAAAAATTCCACTCCGTACAGAAAATTCCGCCTAGTGGAAAACGGCCTTTAGTAAGAACGTTGTGACAACAGATCGTAATGAAAAGTGTAGAAAACTATAGGGCACATGGGGTTGTTTGCTAAGCAATTGACGTCCTGCAATAATGCATGCTTGTGTATTTTTTCTAGTTTAAACTTCCAGTGATCGCTGAAAATTGCCCTGCTTGTTTCGAAGCTCCAAAGGTTTGTATTGCTTATCTCTACAAAACATTGTTTCGGGGGGGGGGGGTCTGGAGGATGGAGGGTGGTAACAGATAAATAATTGGTGTCGTGTAGCAAAAAAGGTCACAGAGATTTTAACAGGTGCCGCTGATGGTTTCGACCCGATTTATATTAACTACGTTTTCACCAGACTTGTTGCAGGGATGCCGTCATTGGCCAACGTCATTGGTAATCTTGTATGATATAGTTACAGTTATCTCTCATAGTGATCCAAATTTATACGCCAGGCTTCTGCATGGGAATGCCTTTGACTATACACTAGAAAAAAAATAGTGAAATTCATACTATGGATGGATATACACTCATACGTGTGGATATACACTCATACGTGTGGATATACACTCATACGTGTGGATATACACTCATAGTAACATCACAAGCATCTTACATCCATATTGTTTCCATACTTTATCCATAGCATATCCATATTGTTTCCATACTAAATCCAGAGTACATCCATATTGTTTCCATACTAAATCCAGAGTACATCCATATTGTTTCCATACTAAATCCAGAGTACATCCATATTGTTTCCATACTAAATCCAGAGTACATCCATATTGTTTCTATACTATATCCAGAGTATGGAAATTGCAATTAGTATGAAAATTGGATTTCCAACGAAGATCTATACTATTTCCATAGTAAGGATTTTGAAAAAATTTCCAGTGATAACGATAGTTGTTTGGTAATATAGAGGTTCAGATTTGACTTCCACTACCAGGTTTAATATCAGACATATTTGCGCTTGCTTCTCTGGTTTACGGTAATGAGCATTGTTAGGTTGTAAACGAGTTAATATAGAGGTTCAGATTTGAGTTCCACTACCGCTACCACTACCTCTAACTGGCTTAGTACGCATCTGATTGGTTAATCGAATATATCAAACGCATCTGATTGGTTAATCGAACATATCAAACGCATCTGATCGGCTGATGGTCCCTTAATGGTTGCCGCGTGAACGAACTCTCTCCCCCGCAGAGCCCCTTAAGTATTTGCAAATAACTTACACGAAGTTTCCAGACGGAGTAAAGCGAGCGCGCTGGCAGTGATGGGAATGTTCGCTCTTCCCGTCACTTCCTGCGTGCTCACTTTTCCCTCACTAGAAACTTCATGTAAGCCTCTGCGGAGGAGAGAGATGAACGAACAAACTTCAAAACCAGGTATATATTGTGAACATAAACACTTAACACGACAAATAGTAGTATGAGGCTTCGGTGGCGCAATCGTCAGAACAAGCGTCATTCACCTCTTGAGATTGTGGTTCGGTCCTCACATCGGACCATAGACAATCCAGAAGACATTCTTCATGTCTTCTGGATTGTCTATGATCGGACTAATGACCCTTATGTGAAAAGAGTCAGTAAACGTTCTACCGAAAGTCGTGGGTTTCTCCGGGTACTCCGGTTTCCTTCCACAAGGAATGTTGACAGGGTGGGTTGGGGTTATCCCCCTAACTGACCTTTCCATCGCAGCTGTGCTCCATGATTAGATATGAGTCATAAGATGGCTGCCAGAGGCGCCCTTAGGAAGCCTTCGACTCGATCAGGTTGAGCTGGCGTCCTTCGCAATTCAGCTTAGCTCTCAGCTGCAAGTAAGAATGATTAGCACACCCCATGCACTTAAGCCTGGTTTCCATATTGTCGTAATGCTCGTAAAAATACAATCACGATCTTTCTCGCCAGTTTATAATAGTTTATTCCTGTAAACCACATATAAATCATAAGTATTCTCTAGTTATAAACACTGCGCGTATTTTCAGCTCTAAAATGTTGTATTTCGGCTGATGAGAAAGATCGTGACTCAATCTTTACGACCGTTACGATCATATGGAAACCAGGCTTTACTTACTGACCTGTCTATATCATTGTTCATACAGGAGCGCCATCGAGTGAAACAATTGCTTGCAACGCAAGAAATTTTATTCCCAAACTTGTTTAAAAGTATCCAATCAGCCTTGAAGCCTTTAATGGCAAGAAAAAGAACTCAAATGGAAAACAAGGAGTCGTCCACAGATGAACTGTCCTTTCTATGTAGGTGACCAAGGTTTGAAACTTTAAATGGTTATATGATGCGAAATGAGGTATCTTTATTATATGAGGTATCTTTATTTATATTCTTATTGAAAAATTACTTACTTAAATTTTCCGCTATTGACGTCATATTCAGACTGTCATATTGGAAAGGGCTTAGCTAGAACTTAATAGATAATATGCAAAAGATTAAATATTAGACAAAAAGTAAAGAATCGTTAAGGTATGTTCAAAGTAAAATTGTTAGTCCAACAATGTCGGACAAAATTTGGAGTTGTTCATATATGAGCCGGGCCAGCTCGCGGCTATCCGGGTTGAATCATGTTATGTTTTTTCCTGACCTTGAAAGATCGTTTGAATGAACTTTATATTGTTACTGGAATCAAACTAAGCTCAATCAACTTTGAAATATTATTTTGGGTGTTGATCAAAGCCGTGATAAGAGCTTTATTAAACGAATCATCCCGGTTAACCCGGCCAGCCCAGCTCCATATGAACAGCCCAGCTCCATATGAACAGCCCCTTGGATATAGAAATTCTGAATAAAGCCCAACCTGCTCCAACTCGATTTGTTCCGATTAGTGATCATGTATTGTTGAGTTTAAACATAAAGCATGAATACGGCAGCTTTTACAATAGTATTTTAATAAAGACAACATACTTAAAATACAATGTACTTAACGTACCATCTTATAAATATTAAAATTTTGTACATTTATAGACTATAAGAGCTCTAAAATACAACAATTATAATTATTATATACGTTATGTATAATGAAATTTACGTGGTAATGAAGTAATGGAAATGTATTGGAATGGTCCCGTTTGCTAAAATGTTATGTCAGTTTGACACATATAGCGTATTAACATGACTGGTCAAACTTGCAACTTCAATAAAATTATACATTTCCAACTGCATGAAATGCATAGTCAAAAGACTTGGAAAATAACAGGTCAATAATAACAGGTCAATAATAACAGGTCAATAATAAAAGGTCAACAATAACAGGTCAATAATAACAGGTCAATACTAACAGGTCGATAAGAGTGCATGCACTCTTGCATCCGTCCAAAAAGTGCAGTTTAAAACAAAAGCTGCACATGCATGTGCATCCAGGCATCAAAAACTGGCAATTTACAATACCGTCACTATAAATACTTCTACAGTAAGTCGTAAGCTTTCACATGAAAAGCAAGTATATACAAGTACCCATTTTATTAAGTACGAATGCAGCATGCACTAAGCGTTTTGAGTACTAAACAAGTTACTATAAAATATGTTCGTTTAAACTTTCTAAATAAGAATATAAGTTTGTTAAAAGTTTTCTAAAAAAATTTGGTTTTAAAGGAACTTGTGTCTTCTTAATTTTAATATAATACATCAAAGCAATATATTAAGGTTTAGTTACTCCACTGATGTGCGTTGTATAGTTGTGAGTGATTTAATATTTCTTCCCAATAATAAGTTTTTCATCACTTGAAGAATGGCTCATGTAGTTCCAACCATGTTCAATATGTCCTTTTTTATTCACTTCAAATCCTTCATTATGTTTCTTCAACTTGGTTTCCAATGTAATCAGTTGCTCGGTCGCTTCCTCTTCATCGTCTGTAGTAAAGTATTCTTCAGGGTCTTCAACCAGGCAGCATTTCCTTCCTACTGATAATTCAGATTGTTTTGGTCTCGTACGATGATCTTTGATGTGAGCGTAATTTGCTGCCAGAGTCAGCATCATATTCACCTGCGTGAAAAGATTAGGAATATTGTTGGTGTGCATGCAGCCATGCACTGTCAAAAGCATAAACTATCATAGTGTGCTAGATGTAATATTTGAAAACCGACTATGAGGACTGGACTAGATTTCAAGTCTGCGCAATTTGATCAAGTTTGAGGCGAAGCCGAGGACTGGATCAAAATGCTAGGACTTGAAATTTAGTCCAGTCCTCATAGTCAGTTTTCAAATATTACATCTCTGATACGAATAAATAATTAATTAAAGTGGGATGAATTAATTTTGATCCAGTCCTAGGACTGAATTTTGATCCAGTCGTAGGACTGGGTCATTACTACTTCACCGGGTATCCAGTATTATCATGTGAACGAAATAAAGCAACATGGTTGGCTAATTTACTCATGAATGATTAATGAGTTTGAGATATCATCTTGAAGAGTCTGTAGCAGTGTAGATAGTACCTATAGAGAGTTCAGATTTGACAACCACTACCTCTCACTGGCTTAGTATAAACATGTGATTGGTTGATCGGTTATATCAAACACATCTGATTGGCTAATGGTCCCTTAACGGTAGCGGTAGTGGACGTCAAATCTGAACCTCACTAATAATAAAAAAGCTGCGAATTGATAGGGATACAACTATACCTGAAAAATACAAAGAGAACTTCAAATTCTCCATGTGTTTTTCAGGTAGTTGTATCCCTATCGATCCACAGCTTTATTCTCTGCTATATATTATCTCTCACTTCCTTGCGAGTGCTAAATGGTTGGAAATTATACCAATAGTGCTATTTTCCTATCTCTTCAGTAGACGTGCATGTACTCTTTGTAATTATATAAATATATGAAACGTTTCTTTTTTCGTTGACGTGCAGTTAAAACTGCACCTTTTATACCATTCCTCTATTTCAGAAATAGAGTTATTGTCAAATTGGAAACGTGATACATACCACACCAATAACGACAAAAATTGTTCCAACAAAACAAAAGATGAAGTAAGGTGTTGCATTGCTCATCTGAAAAATATTTTTAAATATATCGTTAGTTATGGTCATTCGTAGTTTCTTTAAGATTGCTCAATTAGTGAACCTATTATGCAACGAAGATTTACGTTGTAAATTTATAACTGTATTTGCTAAATGTGTTCCCATGCATATGATGACAGTTCTCAAAAACTTGTGAGCCAGTTGTCCCTTGTTTTTTTATAGTCGTTCCATCTATAAAGATGTAAAAATGTGGTCGTACAACAAGACATGACTTTTTTCCTTTCATCTTAAAATAGATTTCCCCACGTTAGAAAATGAAATAAACGCCAAATTTCGAGCACCAAATATAATTTAATTAAATAACTTTAGGAATAGCACATGTATATGTATGTGAAATTACGTGTAACTCGATGATATTTGTTTGCTTACCGCAGTGCAGAAAACAATTAATTCATTGCCACAAACTTCTTTCACACCAAACACATCGTCAAGAGCTGAAAACATAGAATTACATTATTATGTGAGACATATTGTACATCACAGCATACTTAGCTTGAAAACCAAGCATAAGTCAGAGAAGACTATCGTTAAACTTAAATGGCAAAACAATAGACAACTTGCATGTTAGACTAATTTTTTATATAGGCAAAAGAAAAGTAAATTCCCGTAAAGAACTTATTAAAATTAGTAAAATGGCAAAATTTGGTTACGAAATGTTGTAAAATACGGAAAATATAGCCTTGCGAAGTTTGTATAGGCTATGTTTGTATTTAATATACGTGCGGAAATTGTGACCATTTTTGAGCCGAAAATGGTAACAATTTCCGCACGTAATACAAACATATACAAAATTTGCAAGACTTTATTTTCCAAGCTTTACAACATATCGCAACCAAATTTTACTAATTTCATTATGTTCTTTTTAGCTGTGGTGTTTGATTTCCTTCTCTTTACTTAGATTAAAATTTAGTCTAACATGCAAGTTGTCATCAGTTCAAAAGGTACGATTGTCGGCAAGTAGAATAACGTGTTGCGCGTGATATTATTAATAAAACATGAAAACGAGGCTCAAAGGTCTCGGCAGTCGCCTCGTTCACATATACTCAGAATTGTATTCACAAATTTTTAATGTTAATTTTTTAAAGGAGAAATTTGTGTCATCTGCCATAAAAGAAAACTTAAATTCTGCTCTTTTTATTAATGTGTTTTAATGAAACCAGCATTTTGGTCGTCATCATTATGAAAGACATTTTTTTAAATCTTGCTTCCAGAAAACAATTTCACAGTTTGGCGACATAGGCAAATAAATCACTCTTCAATTAAACCTTACACCATTCTACCTTGTAACAAGAAAGAATTAAAAGAACTACATTCGTGCACCGTCATTCAACATTTTTGCATGTATATACCGTATTCTTCAAAGAAAATGCAGGTCTGTCCAAGTTGTTTGGTGATTTTGATGGCACAAACTCCATAGAATATTGCCATGAATATAACCGGTATGATAAATATTGGAATCAAGAATGTCCAGACTACCCACATCAAGTAATGCCAACCAATAAGCTGAAAGAAACAAGTGGTATTATACTATTATTGCAAGTGTATTTATGTTTCTTAATATTAATAACAAAAAAACGCTGACTGTACTGAAAAATATAACGTTATAACTGTACTGAATATAATATACTATAACGTTATAACTGTACTGAATATAATATGATATAACGTTATAACTGTACTGAATAATATAACGCTATAACTGCACTGAATATTCGCCGAGATGATTATCGGGGAATATTCACCGAGACAAAGTCGAGGTGAATATCCCCCGAAATCACCGAGCCTGAGGCGAATAATTGTTTTACGCCTGTATTCTAAAAGCTCACTCACACTCGTACTCAAAGAGTGGAGGTTCAATCTGAGCTTCCCTTGAGTGTCAATGCTGTTTTTGAATAGCTGGATGGTCTTTTATAACTTTATTGGGAATACTAACAATAACGATAAATGGGTGTTTCCCAAAAGGAAAGGTGCAAACGGGTCAGAAAAAGCCCATGCGAGGCACCTCCCTTACAAACTTTACACAAAAAATTACATTACACTATAAATTATAGTTGAGGTAAAGCTCGATTTGCGCATACCCACAGGATCTCCAAATACGTAAAATGCATGTAGATTTTGGAAAAATTGTACGGAAAATAAAACTAACTTGGTTTTGAAAACATGTGACTTGGGCATGTACACGAAACGAACTTTACTTCAATCAAAGAACTATACATTATTTTAGTTTCTGTGACATGGACAGTCTCGAACAAGAGACCAGGTACATGGCATGTCTACGTCAAAAACTGAATTACGTAAAAACGAATAAGTCCGACGAAGAAAGTTCTTAAAAGTAAATAATGTCACGAAGTTATTAGGTGATGCAGCTCTGCACACTACATTCCATAAATGAACTGTTCGATTAAAGTAAGAGTTTTTAAACGTAGTTGTTCTACATAACGGCACTTGAAGTAATAGACTAGGATTTAAGGTTAGTCGAGAACGATCATGACTAACAAAACTAACATAATTGCCTATGTCTAAGTCTACGTAACCGTATAGTGCCTTATAGAAGAAGACCAAGTCTTGGATTTCTCTGTCATAACACAGCGGCAGCATGTCCAAAGTCTGAAGTCTCTCCTGGTATGATATCTCACCTATTCTTGATCTTAGGATCCATCTTGTCGCGCGTCGTTGTATTCTTTCGATCTTGACTTTGAGGGAGACATTGGATGGAGACCAAATTTCAGTACCATAGCATAACTTCGACTTTACAAGCGATATGTATAATGAACGCCGGATTTTGGTTTCCGTCAATAAAGGACAAGTTCTCTTTAGGAGACCAAGCATCTTGTTAGCTTTAGCTGTTATCATTTGAATATACGAGTTCCACAAGAGATTGTCTGTCACGATGATGCCGAGATCTTTTTCTTTCCGGACACGAAGCAACGAAGATGAACCCAGATGATAGTTGTAAGTCACGGGATATTTCTTTCGAGTCACGCTCAAAACCTTACATTTTAATGCGTTGAACTTGATGTTATTATCATGGCTCCACTTATCGAGGTTGGATAAAGATTCTTGTAGACAATCACCGTCAGTTGTAGAGTTGATGTTTCTAAACAATTTTGTATCATCAGCATACATAGCTTCCGGAGAGCCATTGGATATTACTTCCGGAAGATCGTTTATGAAGACAGCAAAAAGTATCGGACCCAGGATACTTCCTTGTGGCACGCCAGAGATAACAGGAACCCAGCTTGATGGGACACCTTCGACAACAACTCTTTGGGTACGTCCGCTTAAATAATCACGAAACCAGTCGAGAAGACGCCCTGTAACGCCATATGACTTGAGTTTTCTTAGAAGTATTTGATGATCTACAGATTCAAAAGCTTTGGCAAAATCAAGGTAAATTATATCAGACTGAAGGTTTTTGTCAAGACACTGACCAACAGAGTGAAGAACTTGGACAAGCTGAGTGATACACGAACGGTTTCTAAGAAAACCATGTTGTGATGGTGTGATGAGGTGAATGATGTGATCGTAGAATCTCCTGGAAACACAACGTTCCAAAACTTTGCTGATGATAGGCAGGAGGGAAATCGGTCTGTAATTTTCAACGGGTTCTTTAAGGTCTTTCTTGTGAATGGGTGTAACATCAGCTGATTTCCATTCGGAGGGAAGGCGCCCAGTGCGTAGCGAATGATTCAACAGGTCACAAATGCTAGGTGCGATTTGGTCGCTACATTCCTTTAGAATTCTTGCTGGAATGCCATCTGGGCCGCTTGCCTTAGAGATGTCCAGATTATACAGACACGCAGCAACTTCTTCCGTTGTTAAGGTTATATCAGATATTTGGGTATCGGGATCAAAAGAGTCTAAGTTATTGTCAGTGTCAGTGGTGGATTTTGATGGTACAAACACAGATGAGAAGTATGAATTAAAAAGTTCAGCTTTCTCTGCTGGAGTTTTGGCTGTAATATCTTTGTAAGTAACAACCGCGTTGTGTTGTTCCTTATGGTGTAGAATGGCTTTATGGTAGCTCCAGAAAAACTTCGGGTTTTTGTTGAACGAACTTTCGACTCTTTCTAGATATTCGCGATGTTTTTTTCTGATCAAACTCTTGATGTTTTGACTTATACAACGCAACTTTTGCTTACGGATGATGGATCTATTCTGGCGGAATTTCTTGAGTGCAGCGTATTTCTTACGGACAAGCTGACGAACTTCGCCGTCAATCCATTGGGGGGAATTTATGTCTTTAATGGTTTTAACAGGGACGAATTTATTCACAGCCGTCAAGAATAAGTCTTTCCAATTCGACCAGTATTGGACAATATCATCCGAGAAAGCGTTCTCAAACGGTACATTGGACAAGCAGCTACGCAAACCTTCAAAGTTTGCCATTTTGTAGTTGTAAATTCGACGTTTGACATTCCTGGCTCGCTTAAATTTAAGTTTGATCTGAAATTCGACGATATAATGATCGGTTGGAAATTTGCACTGTTCGGGAGTAGATGTTTCGACATTCGTAATAATTTCAGGACAGTTACTTAGAAGAAGGTCAAGTTTATTGCCACAGTTGTGGGTAGGACCAAGAATGAATTGCTGTAGGAAATTATCATCAAACAGATCGCAGAAACTGTTTTCCAGTTGACCTCCGGCCGTAGTAGGGATTTGTTCATCGAATGTAGTCCAGTCAAGTGCGGGAAGATTGAATTCTCCTGCCAAAACAATACAGCTAGATTCGCTTGTATTCTGAAGTGATGAACTAAGGTGATGGAAAACTTCACCCGAG